TGTTGATTGTTGATTGTTGATGCTGATTGTTGATTGTTGATGTTGATTGTTTATGTTGCTGTTGATTGTTGATGTTAATGTTGATTGTTGATGTTGATTGTTGATTGTTGATGTTGATTGTTGATTGTTGATGTTGATTGTTGATGTTGATTGTTGATTGTTGATGTTAATTGTTGATGTTAATGTTGATTGTTGATTGTTGATCTTGCTGTTGATTGTTTATTGTTGATGTTGATGTTGATTGTTGATGTTGATTGTTGATTGTTGATGTTGATTGTTGATTGTTGATTGTTGATGTTGATTGTTGATGTTGCTGTTGATTGTTGATGTTGATGTTGATTGTTGATGTTGATTGTTGATGTTAATGTTAATGTTGATTGTTGATGTTAATGTTAATGTTGATTGTTGATTGTTGATGTTGATTTTTGATGTTGATGTTGATGTTGAGGGTTGAAAAATAGCGCGTGGAGTAATTATACAGAGGATAGTTAAAAAGAGTCAGGTGAGAATCTGCACGCACGTATGCTGCTTAACTGTAAACTTATCTAGCACAATTGTTACAAAACCCATTAAATAGCTCATATCTCAAGTAAAGGTCGCACACCATTGGCGCAATACAAGATATTGCTCGCCATACCCTCTTTACCCCAATGCGCATGTTTTTAGAAAAAAACGCCCAATTTAAAAAAGCGCCCAATTGGGCGCTCATTTTTGCCAGCCCAATTTTTGAGTATCATATGACAGGAAGTTCCCTTTTACGCAATCGCAGCGCACTGTTTTTCGGGATTTTCCCTTTGTACGCAATTATTCCCATTTGCTGTACACACAATGTACGTGGCAATAAATGAGCGTTTCAATGCGTAGGCGTGTTCAACTTCAAACTTCAAGGGGGCTGCAGGGCATTTTCTAGTAAATTTATTGTAACGAAACCTTGGGAAGTTTTAGACCTATTATTAAAGTGCCATTTAAAGCACAAAACTGGATTATATCTCTGAAGGTTGATTTTTTAGCAATTTTCAAAGGAAAAGAGGTCTTTTCATTGCAACTTCCGGTCTGATGACGTAATCATTTTTTTTTCGAGCACAGGTCTTGTCTGCATTAAGGTCATTATGTATATTAATTTTGAAGCGATTACCGCAAATTTCGCCACAGACATCAACTGAAAATGCGTTTTGGACATTTTTTAACCTGCCGCTAGAGGGCGCTCGAACACTTGATGGCGTCACCGATTATTTTTTTGGAAAGATCAACCCACCCACAGGCTAACATCGTTGAAAGCAAGTTCATATCTTTTTCCACTTTTGAATTATTAGGCACTTCCGGTTTCGACCGGAAGGAAGGGTCATGTGATTTTACGCACACAAGATAAATTGAAGAGCATGTATTATCATATCCATTCCCGCAAAATTCAAGTTGCGGTCTCTCACGGTTGATTTTATATTGAATTTCAAATATTAAATTTATTATTTTCTGGAACATTTCATGGGGGGGGCGTCATGTAGATCAATGATAATTTTTTAAGAAACTCAAAATCTCAGTGGGGGGGGGCAACTGGGGGGGTGACAAGGTTTCATGGGCTACGCCACTGCGTCACATGTCTAATGATGATGTCATTGTAACAGTACTTTGCAGTGCTCATTATTTTTTTGTGGTTTTAGTCTGTACCAAGTTTGAAAAAAAATCGGATGAATACAAGTGTTCAATTTTGTAGGCAGAATATAATTGGCAATATTAAAAAATCGTAAAAAATCTACCGATGACGTCATCGTGACGTCATTCAAGATTTTGTGTACTAGTGTTATTATCTACCCACCCACCAAGTTTCATGACGATCGAACATTCCCTTATATGTGTTTCATAATAGCGCATTTTTACCCCTCAGCCGAGAGGCTCGAGGGGTATTGTCATCGCCTAGGGCGTCCGTCCGTCCGGATGTATGTATGTCTGTCCGTCCGTCCGTCCGTCCGTCCGGGCAGCTTAGTTTCCGGATGATAACTTGAGTTAGAAATGTTGTTTGGGGTTGTAACTTCGGTAGGGGGTTGCCCTTGGGAGTAGGCAAGTTGGGATTGGTTTTGAGGTCAAAAGGTCAAAGGTCAAGGTCACCGTGGTGAGTTAAATGTAAATGGTTTCCGGATGATAACTTGAGTTAGAAATGAGATTTTGGTGTATAACTTTGGTAGGGGGTTGCCCTTGGGAGTAGGCAAGTTGGGATTGGTTTTGGGGTCAAAAGGTCAAAGGTCAAGGTCACCGTGGTGAGTTAAATGTAAATGGTTTCCGGATGATAACTTGAGTTAGAAATGAGATTTTGGTGTCTAACTTTGGTAGGGGGTTGCCCTTGGGAGTAGGCAAGTTGGGATTGGTTTTGGGGTCAAAAGGTCAAAGGTCAAGGTCACCGTGGTGAGTTAAATGTAAATGGTTTCCGGATGATAACTTGAGTTAGAAATGAGATTTTGGTGTCTAACTTTGGTAGGGGGTTGCCCTTGGGAGTAGGCAAGTTGGGATTGGTTTTCAGGTCAAAAGGTCAAAGGTCAAGGTCACCGTGGTGAGTTAAATGTAAATGGTTTCCGGATGATAACTTGAGTTAGAAATGAGATTTTGGTGTCTAACTTTGGTAGGGGGTTGCCCTTGGGAGTAGGCAAGTTGGGATTGGTTTTGAGGTCAAAAGGTCAAAGGTCAAGGTCACCGTGGTGAGTTAAATGTAAATGGTTTCCGGATGATAACTTGAGTTAGAAATGAGATTTTGGTGTCTAACTTTGGTAGGGGGTTGCCCTTGGGAGTAGGCAAGTTGAGATTGGTTTTGGGGTCAAAAGGTCAAAGGTCAAGGTCACCGTGGTGAGTTAAATGTAAATGGTTTCCGGATGATAACTTGAGTTAGAAATGAGATTTTGGTGTCTAACTTTGGTAGAGGGTTGCCCTTGGGAGTAGGCAAGTTGGGATTGGTTTTTGGGTCAAAAGGTCAAAGGTCAAGGTCACCATTGTGAGTTAAAGGTAAATGGTTTCCGGATGATAACTTGAGTTAGAAATGCGATTTTGGTGTCTAACTTTGGAAGAGGGTTCCCCTTGGGAGAAGGCAAGTTGGGATTGGTTTGGGGGTCAAAAGGTCAAAGGTCAAGGTCAGCATGGTGAGTTAAAGGTAAATGGTTTCCGGATGATAACTTGAGTTAGAAATGAGATTTTGGTGTCTGACTGAGGTAGGGGTTTGCCCTTGGGTACAGGCAAGTTGGGATTGGTTTTGGGGTCAAAAGGTCAAAGGTCAAGGTCACCGTGGTGAGTTCAATGTAAATGGTTCCGAATGATAACTTGAGTTAGAAATGAAATGTTGGTGTCTAACTTCGGTAGGGGGTTTCCCATTGGTACAGGCATGTTGGGACTGGTTCTGGGGTCAAAGGCCAAAGGTCAAGGTCACCACGTTGAGTTAAAGGTTAATGGTTTCCGGATGATAACTTGACTCTGGCTGAGGGGTTTCAACAGCAACGCTGTTATTTTTATTGATGACGTCATCATGACGTCACACATTTTTCAAAATTTTACACATATACCTATTGCCTAACAAACCTAATACAAATAGAATTTTGAATTTAGCATATTGCGTTCGTGAGATATGGTTTAAAGGTCCAAAACTTCAGAAATCGATATAAAATCACACGATGACGTCATGATGACGTCACTTCAGTTTTCGTCTATAACACATCCCGGTCTACCTACATCCCAAGTTTCAACCCAATCGAACTTACGGTTCTCTAGATATAGGGTCTTAAAGTTTGCACATTTAAGATGACGTCACGTGACCCGTGATGACGTCATCATGATGTCACTCTTCGGTACACAATGTCACTATGGGGTCTTTATGTATGGGGTCATTATGTATGGGGTCATTATGTATATTAATTTTGAGGCGATTACCCCAAATTTCGCCACAGACATCAAGTGAAAAGGCGTTTTTGAAGTTTTTTTACCAGGCGCTAGAGGGCGCTCTAACATTTATAACGTCACATGTAATATATTTCTAAAGTACAGCCTAGGCAGACACTCACATCGTTGAAAGCAAGTTCGTATTGTCTTTCAATTTCAAATAATTAGACACTTCCGGTTTCGATGCATGTTTAAATCCATGTTTGAAGGAAGGGTCACATGATTTTGCACTTAATACCGAAAATTACGACCCTGAAATATTATTTTGATTGCCATATGGGGTCTTTACATGGGACAAGTTTCATTAGAATATGAGTTTGTTTTAGGTCCAAAATGCCGCGGTGAATAAATGTGTACAAAGTCTATGGGATTTGGGGGTGGAACAGAAAGAAAAAAAAAGAAAAAAAAAAAAAGAAAAAAAAAATCGGAACAGAAACAATGCTTTTCCGCTTTCAGGCGGAAAGGCAAGAAAAAAAAGAAAAAAAATCAGAACAGAAACAATGCTTTTCCGCTTTCAAGCGGAAAAGCAAAAAATACTTTGGCACCAGTCCCTTTTAAACATAAATGGTAACATTGTTTAAAAAAATGGTGTATTTACAGTATAAACTGCCTAAAAGTTATCCAGGAAGGTACAAAAAAATGTAGGTACATGTAGGAAAATAGTTTTAGTTTGTAATTTGTCTATGTTCATCTATTCATCTTTTGTACTTGTCTCTTTACTTTTGGGTATTTTTAACAGTATGCTGTTTAATTAACCTGTTTAATTGTTTCATGTTATTTATTTTGTATATATATTTATTGTTTCATTTGAGCAGGGTAGCCCAATCAGTTGTCTAAGAATTGTTCTCCCTGGGGGCCCTTAATTGACCAGTAACACACACACACAAACATACATAGGGGAAGACTTTTTGGATTTTCAAAATAAACATCAATCTAAATAATTGGCAAAATGTGGCAGTAAAATGTTTGAGGCTAAAAAAAATCCAGGTAGGTCGGGTTACCGTTGACACATAATTGTGTTTTTTTTTATGCCTTAGGTTTCTTTCATGAAATTTGAACCCCACATCTTCCTTTTTTTTTCGTCTAAGGCCTGGATGGCTCCTCGCCCACCCCCAGCCACAAGTCGGCCCGCCAGCGCCAGCTCTCGGCCGACATAAGGGCCATGTACACCAGAGACAATGCGGTGAGTCTGACCCTCCTGCACTTCAACGACGTGTACAACGTGGAGCCCCGAGACTGGGAGCCGGTGGGCGGAGCAGCACGGTTCGCCACCATTGTCAAGGGTTTCCTGCCAGAGAACCCACTGGTCTTTTTCAGCGGAGACGCACTGAACCCATCCATCAGTAAGTGGTTGAACAGAAGACTGAGGGGTTTAGTCCACGCAGTGATGTAGTACTTGTGCTAGTTACACATACTCGAGTACGTTTTGAGAATTAATACTCGTACTCACACTCCTACTCGAATATCAAAATACTCTGGTTCGAATTCACGGTACCAGTTCTCAAGAAGCAAAGTACTTGCTCAAAATCTAAATAAGGGTGCTTAACAACTAACCTGATGAAGTTTTAGCTCAATGAATGTTTTATATTCGGAGAAACAATATTCTAGAATCTCGATTTCAAATCAAAAGTTGCCGAGTCATGTTTTGAATTTGCGCCCGAAATCAGTGCCCAGGGCACATTTTCATTCAGCTGATTGCAGCTTCGCGATGTCACAGACGGAACCGACGAATTATAGCACGTCGGCTCGCGTGTGTGTCGTGTCGGCGCTTGTGCGCACCCATTCACCGCTTCACTAAAATAGAAACAAACTGCTAATGGAAATCTCCAAAAATGCTTTTGAAATGACCTTCTTTTATTGTTTTCTTCAAAATGACAGCATGCCAGAAAGAACAATTTTGAAGGGAGTTTAGTGCCATTACTATCTTTAAACCAAGTATGCTTTTCAACAACAATTTTGTCAGTTACTTTTTTGATACTCTACCTTTAAATCCTGCCTGTGTAACTTCGCAATCTCCCCTTACTACTGGATCCCTTTTCAACCTATTTCTATTCAACCTGATCTTAATAAAATAGAGTTGGACTTACAATAGTTGGACTTACAGTAGAACTTCACTGTAGCAAACACAGTGCAGTCCAGAAAAGATTGTTTGAAAAGGCAGTGGTTCATTAAGGCATTTTTAGGCTTCTGATAATTCTTCTCAGTAAAGGAACTTAAACTTTTGGAACCGAAGGAGATGTTTATTGGGTGCAGCAGCGGTATTCTACAGTACCATCAGAAATACACATATTTGTACAAGGGTTAAAAAAGGGACTTCCTTTTCATGTATAAGTTTCACTCAGGCAGGTATCTATAATATCTTAATTAGACAATTTTTCTCTGACAATACTGTCTGAAGCATTTGTTTATTCGTTTGTCTTTGTTTTCTTTTCTGTGATTTTCACAGTGAGCAGTGTGACACGAGGTCGGCACATGGTTCCTATTCTGAATGCACTCAAGGTGAACACGGCGGTGTATGGCAACCATGATTTCGGTAATCTATTATAATTTCCTGTTTGAACACCATCAAGTAATTTATTGTGATAGTGTAAAATCTTTGTCGGTCCTCATCAAGTGTAAACTGCACAAGGTGTAATAAAAATAACAAGTATGACCTTTGAAGTGATTGATTTGAAATGAAATTTTTGGACTGGAGTTTTTCAAGTTTTTTCCCATTATGCAAAGTTGCAGTCTAAGGCCCCCCCCCAAAAATATTCGGTCTCTGGTCAGACCAAAATTCCGGGATTGACGCGGGGACGCAGCTTTTTTTTTTTTCTTCAAGCTTGGATTGTACAGACAAGGTGGGGTACTATTTTGCTTTTTTGGTGTCCTCATGTACATTGGTGTCCTCCATAATTTGCCTTGGTGCTCTCGATCATTTGCCTTGGTGCAATTTCCCATTCCTTGGTGCTCTTTGGTAAAAAAAATTGAGTGGGTGCGGCAATAGAGGGCGCTGTTGGAGCTACCGCGGAACATTTTGGAGAGAAAAAAAGATTGACGCGCATGATTAAAATCGACGTGCACGCTGACCAGAGACCGACTTATTTTTTTTTGGGCCTTACAAGCACTATTTTCCACCATGCAAAATCTGAACTCCTCACAAACTCTGCGTATTTTCCTCCAAAGACTTTGGAGTGGATGAGCTGGAGGACATTGTGCGGGATACCAACTTCCCCTGGATGATCAGTAACGTCATTGATAACTTCACCGGTCAACAGTTGGCAGATGGCCTGGTCACACGGACTGTCACATGTCAGGGCAAAAAGGTAGACCTTGTTTATCCGATCATTGTATGAAAGTACGACCGAAAGGCATTGATTGTACACCAGATTTGTAGTTTACACATATGTGTAATTTGATTTAAAGTTGTATACACCGTGCTTTTCCCAAAAAATGGTTTTTTTTCTCCTAAAAAAATTCCAATTTGTATAAAAAAACCCTACTTTTTTGCTTCAGATTTTGGGCGTGAGCAACCCTATGAATAATGGCTTGCGAGAGCAGAATTATAGTCTGGCAGTTGATATCTTGATTTTTTTTTGGAAGAAATAATTCAATAAGTAAATATTGATGGATTTTTGCTAAATGTCTCATTTGAAAGTGAATAACTTTTATGCCGCTAGGAAAATAGCAATCAAGAAGAGCAAATCTATTTTTCGAGGTGGTACTCGAAAAAAGCATGGGGGATGCATCTTTAAAGAGTGTACATAATGTTCATTAAGTTATTAAATAGGATTTACACAGTTTAATGCATATTACTTTGTCCATCAAAATGTTTGATGTCTTTTACCCTTGCTCATGATGATGGGCCAGTGTAACCATAAAGTATATCATTGCAGCTATCCCAAAAGTAACAAGTTATATTTGTAATAGAAAACTCCTTCGAAAAATTTCAGATCGGCTTGATGGGTCTCGTGGAGGAAGAGTGGCTGGTTACCTTGGCAACCATTGACCGGGAAAACCTGACCTACTTGGACTTTGTGGAGCAAGGCAAGAAGCTGGCCCAAGAACTCAAACAACAGGTGAAGATAGAATAGACCTTCTTGATTCTTCCTTGCTTATAAAAGTATTCTGCCAAGTTTGTAGTACTCGTACTCAGTACTCATACTCAAGTACAACTCAGGTACTTTTTTATATATTTTTTTGTTTAGAGTACTTGTACTCGCACTCCTACTTGAATATCAAAATAGGACTTTTGAAAGCCTCTCTGAACTAAGTGTAAGAGATATATGTGCTGCTATCAAGCTTAATAAGCCGTTTGTCAAGAATTTTCATTTGGAGATTCAGGCCAAAATAATAGTGAGGTATCTTAGTGAAAAAATCGTGACACGGTGGACAAAAGCACCATTTTTTCACCAAAGCATCTCCATGGTATACCTTTTCGAAAGAAAGACGGACGCAAAAAATTGGATGATGGGAAGGGCATGTATGACGTCATTATGACGTCATCAGCTAGTTATTACATAAAATATATATATCTTCTGAACAATAAACATCACAACAACAAAAGTCGCATCAAATGAAAGGGAACAACAAGATCTTTCATTTGAGTGGTATGTCAGGGGCATGGATGTACTAAAGGGTGGTATTTGGGGCAAAAAAACCCCACTTTTTTTGTCAAAAAACCTGATTTGTCAAAAAACCTGATTTTTGGCTAAAATCATGTATTTTTGTTTGGCACCTTGTTTAACATGCAAACCGTATGTGTTATTGTGAGATTTTGTTTTTAAGTCGGAGAAAAAGGTTCAAATTCTATGCCAAAAGAGTTTTTGCAATTGATTATTATTTTTTGTAATAGATTATTAGTATCTTAAATGCTTAAACTTGTTCCTTAGATAGGTGGAAAAACCGCAGTTACCGTAAGGAAAGTTATCACCATGTTAGGGTATGGGCCAAAATGGGACTTAACATTTCCTGTATTACCTTGATAAGGCCCAAAAAATAGTTCTGCTTCCCATTACATGGAATTTGAAAACAGGGTTGGTAGGTAAGGATTTGTGTGTGTGTGTACACTCATATATGGAGGCGTCTGCGTGTAGTCAAGGGTGAAAGGGAGAAATTGATTGTTTTGGGTTCTTTTTTTTAAATTTTTCCCATAAAACAAATTAGGGTAGGGGCTGTCAGAATAGGGTAGGTAGGGAAACCGGAAGCAGAACAGTTTACTATCATTTTTTGGGCCTAATACATAGTTAAGTTACCAGCAAATAGATGGTATGCATTACTTTTATCAATACATGTCCAGTTTGAGGAGACTTTTGAATCAAGACCTCCAACAAATCATGCATAGGCCTACGTTCTTTTTATATATCGAAAGTAAAAAAGCTTAAAGTGTTGTGCAACAGCCCACAAATAAAAGCTTACCACTTTGTATTCATTATGTTCAAATTGACTATCTGATTGTGGAAACCAATGCATTTAGTGGTGAGACTCCTTTTTGCGTTTTAAAGTGCCTGAAAATCTAAAGTTGTCGTGGATTCGCCCATAAACAATCAGAATAAGTCAGGAGTAAGCCTAATCCATTTGGGGTCAAATCGGTTAGGATGTGCTGGGGTGAAATGGAGAAATGAGCAGCCCTATCTCCACTGAAGTACTCCATTGCATAGCACAGCATCTCAACATTATCATCTTCCAATAAAATTCTAAGGACCAGTTCTACGAGGAACTCAACACCACCATCAGAGGTATCCCTGTCGTAGAACAACTGTACCTCCTTGGCGAATTCAACGCCCGAGTGGGATCTGACCACAACTCCTGGCCCAGCTACATCGCTCACTTTGGCATTGGCAAGCTAACTGAGAATGGGCAGAGGCTGCAGAAGCACCTCAGATCCCGTCACTGGCTTCAGCTTCATCTCGTCATCACAGGAAGACCCTCACGAAACTGCGTTCTCATCACACGCAGAACTGACTGTAATACAGGCCACTCCCAAATAAACAGATCCACCGCTCAAAGCAAAAAAGACACCCATACTTCAAACATCGCCAGGACGTCAATCCCAGATCTGTGCAACACGAGGAATCTCCCTCTTCGGTATCGTTAAGAATGCCTTCGCCCTTGTTGTGCTGAACAGATCGCAGCTGCTAGCTGAACGCATATACCCTGAGAGGCAGTGCGGTTTCAGAGCTGAAAGATTAAAGATCGACATTATCTTCTCCATTGTCTTCGACTTACGGCAGCTCCAGGAGAAGTGCCGAGAGCAGCGACGGCCGATGTACTGACCGCCGACCTAGCCGATGAAGCCCTTTAACCTTCGTCAGTAGAAAAGGTTTCTTCAGGCTACTGCAGAAGATTGGATGTCCAAGTCATCAAAAACATTCAACTCCATTACCTTATCAGCATCGGACATATGATGCACAACAGCGAGCACCGCCGAACACTGGATGTGATCTGTTCGGATCATCTCTAGCAACATGTCTGCAACGAGGTTAACACAAACTCGAATGCAAATACCTTACCAGTTCGTTGAAGAAACGAACCCTCCCAATGAAGGCATATAATGTTTCCGGAATCATCTGCCATGGTTCGATACACCTTATGGGTATACCAGCAGAATGACTGGCAACGTGAGAAGTTCCAAGTGGTCAATGTGCCAGGACCAGCTATCAATGGGCTCCCTACTATATGAGCCGCACGTACCCTACAAGCCGCACCCTACACTTGGTCAAAATCTACACTGGCACACTGCCCCGTAAGCCTCAGGCCCCCACAGGAACCAAAGGGCTGACCACTACCACTCCGGTGAGAGACATTCAAGACCTGAAGTACCGGCTCCCAACGCAGTTGGATACTTTCGACGACTTAGATACGCGCTCTCTTACACCTCAAGCCAGATACTCAGTCCCACATAAATCCGCCACATAGGTGCAGCTTTCAAGTCAAACCAAAACCGCAGGCCAAGCTAAAAAAGACTGAGAAAGGCTGGGTCATACGAAAAGTCTTCCATCACACGGACAGATACAGCTCTATCACAGCAACTGCCAAAAAAGACGGCCCGTTCAGGATGTGTCCGGATCCTAAGCAGCTAAACACATAATGTTTTCTAAAAATCCCCACTCTCGAGGAGCTCAAGCCAGAATTTGCACTGGAAAGGTTCTCCTCCAAGCTAGACGTCAAAAGCAGGGTATTGGTCTGCTCATCTAGGGCAGTCTGAAAAACTGACAACATACAATTTGGTTGTTAACAGCTTTCGTCGCCCATTCATCAGCTTATCAGTAAGCCAAGATAATAGTCCCAAAAAATATTGATGGCAAAATAAGCTAGATGCCTTGATGCGTTGGAACAATCACCGTGACGACATTGCAGTATTCGGTCTCCCTTGAAGAGCATGACGAGCGGCCGAATGTCTCATCGCCCTGATGGAAACTGCTGGTTCCTTAGCATAGTCAACAATGTCTCACACTACACCCCAAATTGCGCAGACAAAGTTGCTCCCTTCAGCGATCTTCTTCGAAAAGATGTACAATTTCTCTGGGAAGAGGACCATCAAGCTTCTTTTACAACCCTTAAACACTCCATCTCAACTCAGTCCTGGCTACGATTCTCCGACACACAGGTATAGAAACCATCCTCAAAGTAGATGAATCTGAAAGAGGATTGGGCAACACCCAGGAAGGTAAACCCATCGCATTTTCCTCAAAGAGCCTATAGATCCTCTTCCCAGAGCATATTCTCGAATATCGAGAGGGAAGCCGTGGCACTGCTGCAACTTCATTCGGCTCAATCTTCATTGATGTCACTGACCATTAAATCCATTGGTTACGATCTGGCCCAAAATCCTAGCCAGTACACCACACCGCTTGCAGCGTCTTAAAGCTACAAGGATACAACTTCGACGATATCTACAAACCTGGTGCTATGATGGTGATCGCAGATGCACCCGGCAGATTGCCTAACCCCTCCAAGCTCGACAACGAGACATGTGATGAATCTGTAACTTAGATACTCTGGGATGGGCATCCGACTGTAACTTATGTTACATTTTTTTGTCCGCCTATCTTATCTTTGGAATAAGTTTAAACATTAAAAAAAACAATAATCAATTACGAAAACTCTCTTGGCATAGTATTTGAACCATTCTTTCTGACTTAAGAACCAAAAGTCACAATACCACTTACGGCTGTATGTTTAAACAAGGTGCCAAAATGATTACCCCAAATCCATGATTTGAGCACCAATTTATTTATTTTTTACCAAAAAAGGGCTTTTTGGCAAAAAAAAACCACCCTGTACTACATTCCATCCCACTGACATACCACTCAAATGAAAGATCTTGTTGTTCCCTTTAATTTGATACCACATTTGTTGTTGTCATGCTTGTCGTTCTAAAGATATTATCAATTTATATGTTTTTCATGTAATAATTAGCTGATGACGTCATAATGACGTCATACATGCCCTTCCCATCATCCAATTTTTTGCGTCCGTCTTTTTTTCGAAAAGGTATACCATGGAGATGCTTTGGTGAAAAAATGGTGCTTTTGTCCACCGTGTCACGATCCTTGGCATTTTTGTCACTAAGGCACCTCACTATAAGGCCACTTCATCACATCACTACATTTTTGTACATCTGTTGGTGTTCCGACTTCCATAATTTTTGAAATAAAGTTGGTATCAGCATGCAGTTTTCATAGCAGTTATGCTGAGATTGTGCTCTTTTCAAATCGGTAAAAAAAAAATAGACCAGGGTCAACAAACGACTCATTTAGCTTGATTGCATCACATATTCACAGGTATACTATATATACCTACTGAAGATTGTCTTTGGTTGGAATGCGAAGCGTGGTGTTTTCTAGACAAAATACAAGGCATTATTCACCACAACTTTTATTTATCAGGGATGTGATTTCTCCGTTTTTTTCCGGAAATCCGTTTTTTTGGGCCTCAAAAGTCCACCAACGTGAATCATGTGCATCCGTTGAGAAAATAGAGGGGTAGAATGCGCTAATTAATTATTCATAATGCGTTTTGCTTGCTGAAATATCCGACGGACATTACTTTGTTGATCGATATATCTTTTAACGCACGCACATATTGAATACCCAATGTGAGAATGAAGTTGAAGACCATGCGTTGCCTTTAGCGCGATCATGTGATTTTTTCGCTCGGGTCCGAGGTTGTGATTATTTAGGTCTAGTTCCTGTGTCGATATTCGAGATGCACGTGTTGCGCTGGTCAGGTGTAGACTAATATTACTCAGCGTGCACAATGCGTGGCATACAGTACAGTACAATCATGTGGATTATGCACTTTGTTGTTTTACGTGCGTCGGCTCGGAGTGTTTGTGTACGTATGCTATCAACATGGCTGCGCCCAAGTTGATACTGTGGGATCGCAAGGAGATTTATCAGTGTGAGAGTTTGATAAAGAAGTGAAAAATAAGTTCCGGTGGGAATGGTTTCGGGACTCCGTTATTATTGACGGGCATCAGCATGAATTTCAAGAGTGTTTCCATAAAATAGCAACCGCTGGCAAGGTTTTTGCAATGTTTGCAACAACATTATCAACTACGCGTCGAGTGGAAAGAAATCGCTCATATCCCATGTGCATGTGAAACACCCAAAGCACATCAAAGCATGGCAAATACGGCGAGGTAACATGAAAATGCATGGTTCTCAACTTTGAGTACAGAAGAAACTTTATAGTAAGTACAAGAGTACATTTTAACAAATGAAGGAAAATTCTTCTTAAAATTAAAACAAATTCTGCTCCAAAATTTCAGGGGAAAGTGCCCAGTATTCGCCACAGATTGCACCACAGAGCATCTACAATCAAAAAATTTCCGGGGCCCTTAAGCGGGCCCCCGACTCCACGCCGTAATTGCTTCACACTCGCCGGAGTCTGCACGTCATGCATAAAGTTTTCAGGTTTCTTTGTCACAGACCAATCACACCCCTGATTTATAGATTCAATGACAAAGCTTTATGATATACAGAGACTAGAACAAAATTTACTAAACACAAGAACAAATATTTAATACTGGAAGTGACTGTTCTATTAAAGCTTTGTGTTTTCTGTGTAAATAATTCATTGCGCATCATTAACCTTTGTCAAACGAGTTTGCAACTGGGGTTGCTTGTAAGTATTTCCTATACATTGTGGTACTTTATATCAAAATGATGACTTTTATGCACATAAGCGAGCTCTTTGTGTATTTCTGTGTTCTAACCTTCTGCAGGGAGCTGACTATGTGATAGCACTGACTCACATGAGGATGCCTAATGACGTACGGCTGGCCGACAACGTGGACGACGTTGATTTGATCCTTGGTGGGCACGACCACGATTACGAACTGATGGAGGTAACCATGGCAACCATCGTTACACTTGTCACATTTGTGAGGCTGCTAAATGCCTAATGGAAGCAATACATTAGGGCCAATTTTGTTAGTGATGTCATACGAATTATCTAGGGCAATAGATATTTCAGTTTGGACTCTGAAGCTACTTTTGGAAATTTGGAATAAACTGACAGTTAAATTTGGGTGGACCTTGATCTTTTGTTCTCAGAGTTTTACTTATCTGCAGCTGCAAAGGAGTCTTCGAAAAATGTCTGCGACAGGAAACTTTTTAATTTAGACTTTGCGGAAAGAAGGAATGTGACTTATGATAATTATAACTTGGATACCGTGTAGCACATCATTGGAATTGAGGCACAACACGTTGCACAGTATGTTTATGCACATGATGCAGCCTGGACTCAGCTTTCACATCTGTCGAAAAAAGCATAAGGAATCAGAGCCTTTTTATTCTTTTCTTACAGAGTAAGTCACAACATTTGTCTTTTTGACTTATTGGTCTAAAGCAGAATAAATAATTCAAATAGTTTTCATTCAGGCTTTTTGAAAAAATGAAAGAGGCCCCCCCCCTTTTTCCCCCCAAGATGGTAGATTTTCCAACATGGGGGATGGGTTCTTCCATATTTACCCGACTCTTTTGCTGATATAAAATTATGACCAAAGGAGCTGTCGCCCTTTTTACATACATGTAGCTAAAATTTTGTTGGAAACAAATGAAAATGTATAAATAAAACAATATTTGTGCAAACTATATTTTAGAAAATATATTACAAATGTTTGAATTACAAAAAACCCAAAAAACAAGGTATGCGGGAAAAAGGAAGTGGGCGGGGACAAAAAAACTGGTTTATTTTTTTACTTGGCCTAACATAAAACCAAACTACTGTTGGCTGCGTATGATATGGGACATTTGTGTCTTTTTGAAACTCTCGGGAATGCGCGGCAGCCCCTGCTATTCCTCAGGAAAAGTCATTGCTTCATTTTGAATCAGATTGTACTGTAAATTTGTTTTCTTGCAGCGGAACGGGAAGTTCATCGTAAAGAGCGGCACAGACTTCAGGACCCTGTCCCAACTGCAGCTGACCTTTTCTGATTTTGGCCAAACCAGGGTGAAGGTGGAACGCATCGACGTCACATCTGAGGTGCTCGAGGACGCGGAGGTGAAGGAAATCATCACCAATTACAAGAGTAAGTTGCCTATCGGCCAAAAAGTATGCAAAGTAAAAAGTCTGTCCTTGGCATGAGATGACTGAGAATATTTCTATTTTCCCCTGGATGGGATGCATTTTCGTTATACTCCTGTGTGGCAATGGCATACCCAAATGGGGGGGGGGGGGGGGGGGGCAGAGGGGGCCATGGCCATCATTGTTCCCTATGCCTTAACAATAAATTTATGACAAATAAAAAAAGGTGTTATCCTCAAAAAAACAAATGGTGTTATCCCCACCGTAGTACCTGTACCCGTACGTACAAATAGGCTGATATCCATGCTATCATGCATACGAACGTATGCATTCTCTACAAAGAACGCGCAGCACGATGAACTGTGCAGTGTCACTGCCAGTGTGATCCACATGTACGTGTCACACACAATACTCTTTGGACCACACAATTTACGGTCAAGGGTTGTGCTTTAGTATAAACAATTTGCCTTCGTTCCCTTTCCTTTCAAAATTACAAATGATACTTTAATTACTTGGAGTAAGTAATTTTCTTGTTTGAAAATGAGTTCTTCAACATCACCATATAATTACCGTAAAGTATTTACTCAAAAAACGATGTATAACTCTGAAGAAATGTTTTTAGTAGCACCCCTGAAACTATAAATGAATCTGTCCAAAAAATTTCGGCACTGGCTTGATTTTTCGAAGGGAGTCGCAATCTGAAAAAAAATTGAACTCAAGTGGCTGTCAAAAGAAAATCTGAGAAGTTTGGTACTAATTAAAAGGGACATGTTCGTTCTCAGGAAAAAACAATCAGCCATTTTTGTCACAAAACCCTTTAGTGTTGCAGACATGCTCTGACCACTATTCTCTGACATGACGGAACGTAGTGTGTTGTTTTCTCAAGTGCACGCAGGGATTTTTTTTGGACTCAAGATCATAGTTCAGTGGTAGGGTATAGCTAAGTAGCAATTCCCAATATCACTGATGTTTATTCTCAGCTTGAGCAGCGTCATCTACAATTGAGTTATTTTTTTACATTAAAAAGTGACAATGCTTCCTGCAAATTGTGATGTAACATGTGCAAATTACAATCGCCGATGATTTACTTTCTGTTGATGTCAGACGATAGAAGAACACATGCATGTACATGTATCTTTCACATTTTGTCTTGCCGCCGATCTGCTGATGGTTTTGCGTACAGTAAACCTGAACCTAAGGTTAGGCGCGAAAATTGAAATTGGACTGAATAATAATACCAAGAAAATTTTGGGAAATTTTTCATGGAAAACGTTAATTTTTGTGGTCATGACATGGCTAAACACTAGTGTTAAGCTGTTGAGTTTGACTGTTATTGCTCTTTTGTTTGAGTTTTTTTTGGATTAAATTACACTGATTTCAAATGTATCGGCGACACTGATGTATTGTTTCAATCCATGAGAAGCAAGCACATCCAAAAACTGAGAAGGGTTTGCAGCTGATGGATTGTCCATGTGTATGTTGAAGTCCCCAGTAATGAATAATGATGATTGCACAAAAAGGTAGGTTTCGATAAATGGAGCAAACTCATCAAGAAATGCACTGACAGGAAACCCTGGTGGCTGGTAGATGATCACAAGATGAATAGAAGTCTCTGTGCCGGCCAGTTCCGCTTGCAGAACTTCAAAAGTAGAAAACTTCCTGCAATTCTTCTTGATTGTAATCTTGATTGAATTCTTGCATAGTAGGCCAACACCTCCTCCACGTTTACTGGCACGTGGTATATGATGGAAGGAGTATCCATCAGGAGTTAAATCAGCGATAACAGCTGGGTCATTCGGAGTAAGCCAAGTCTCGGAAATTCCTTCCACATCCAAACCCTTATCCAGCACAGACTCAACGAACTCATCAGCCTTGTTTTTGATTGATCGAGCATTCAACATGCAGAACGTGGCAACTTTCGACTGGTTGTATTTACTGACATGACTGGTATGTATCTGAATCAGATTCGTGCAAGTGCATACATTCCGACAACTATGGAGTAGTGAGGCACGGTTTCCAACTGTAACAGGAATCATGTCACAGTTCACTAGCAAGGAACTACTAGGATGAAAAACTATCTCTGAGTCTGTTGATGAATGAAAGCACAAATAGTTGTGCCGCAATTGCTGTGGTGAATAAGTCAATGTGCCACTGAATGATACAAGCTGACACAAAACAGTCACAAAAATCTCGGTATAGAACGGCAATACACTGGCAAAATGCATCATACCTTAATCTATGACGACTCACAAGGCTAAAAACAAGTCCAAAAAAGCAGGATGGTGTACACGCAACATGATAAAAATGGATTTTTTACATTCAAACTGGAGACAAATTAAAAACCCAGCAGCCATGTTCAACAGCGCCCTCTTTTTAACAAACCGAAAGCACGTCCCACGAAAAGGTACCGAGCAGAAAAAGTACGGCAGGCCGGCCGGCCATATGCGTGAGTGAAAGCTCACGGTCTCTTCGATGCTGCTTTCGACCAGCCGTACCGGTACGTGATACTGGTGCTGCTGCATGCGCTGTATTCCCGGCCCCATGCAGACCACACCATTTGTGGTAATAAAGGGGTGTACTTTCTTGGGAACAATAATTAACAATATTTCCACTGTTTTAAAATATCAAAAAGACAACTAATACTTTTTTATGGAGTTCGAAACATTTCTTTATTCGATAATCAGTTGTTCAAAGTCACAATATATTTTTTTTCTTGAAGTGTATTCAAGAAACGATGTAAAACTCAAAACAGGGGCTAAATTACCCCTTACGAAATTAATGGATGCGTCCATAAAAATGTCAGCATCATGGTGACTGTTTTTGAAGAAATTTACGATCGAAACTTGAATTTTTGACCTTACTTCTCATTAGTAATAATAACAATTTGATAACTTTTGTTGTAAAAACGGACCTGTTTATTCTTAGGACAAAACAAATCAGCATCTGTTGCCACAAAGCAAGATTTGTAGTGCTCCAGTCAGACGACACATGGTGGGTTGCATACTCTCTCAAGTGCTGCGGGAAAACGTTGTCATTCGCAAGCCGGCGCAGGCTGCCAGGCCATGCTCTAACTTTTAAGGCCGGGGACGTACGGGCCAGCCAGCAGCAATTCCTGGTGTTTATTTCTCATCACAAATTTCCATATTTGTTTGTAAGAGTAGGCCTACTGACTGTAAATGATTTGATATAACTTTTGTGGCCCTTGTTATAGTTTTCATAGTGTAAATGGAACTGGTTCAGAGCATTTTGACTAGAATTTGGAAGCCTTAAAAATAATTGAAACCGCTGCGGTCGGTGCGGCTTATATGCCAGTGCCAGTGCGGCTTATACGCCGACTTCAAATCTTAATTTTCAGATTTTTGCGTGCTGCGACTTATACGCCGCGCGGTTTATATTCCAAAAATTACGGTAATCCCTTTTCCAAAAGTAAATTTTATTAAAAATATGGAGATGGAAAAACATGGTTCTCAACTTTGATTAATATGAAACTTTATAAGAGTAAGAGTAAACCAATGAAATGAACTCTCCAGAGTCTCCTTATAATCTTTATAATCTTATAATCTTGCGAAAAAAAGGCAGGGGAAAGTGGCCAGGAATCACCTTATCACAGAGCATCTAGAATCCAAAATTTTCCAGGGCCTGCTTCACGCTGTAAGGGCTTCATGCTGTGCGCTTGCCTTAGTCCTTGACGAACAAATTCCCCCATGCAATTATTTCACCCTGTCTAGGACACTGATTAAGAATACATGTGGAACAACGATTAACGCGCAGGTCTGCACAAAATTATGGGACTACAAAGCATCAGTATTATATTGCATGTAACTCGCACTGTTGAATATTTAAACAGCTTCCGCAAAATTCATTCATCGACTATAATCTGTTGCCATGGTATGATGAACAATATCGCTTCAATATTAAAGTGCCCATGCAATGTAATTTTTTAATGCAATCCTTAAAAATGTAACTTTTTGTCCCATTTTAACCTTATTTTGATTTTCGTTTTGCCATTTTCAAGAGTGTTTTGGTGCCTTTTTTTGTTTTTATGCTGATGCAAATTTCCATATTCATGAGTAAAACTGTGATGTCATTCCGGGCACAAAACTCAATGCTACAGCTATTTCAGCACAAAATGTTGCCAGAATTTTGGATATATTGCTGTCGCAAAATTTCTTTTCTTTGGTGATTCGTTATTGTGTCAGAACATGGCAGTAAGCCAATAGGCAACCTTTCTCACAAATGTTTTCAGTGAACAAATTTTGGGTTCACAATTTGAACAGCAAACCCCTAATAAACTGCTTCCTGAAATAACATTACAGCAAAATCACTCTCAGTTGTCCGTTAAAGCATAGAATTTTTAAAAAATGTTTAAAGAAGTGCTCTTTTCACTTAAATAACTAAAAAAGGGATGTCAAATAGTTTTCATGCATTTAAGAGGAGTAGAAAATTAAACAAAATGTATTCCTAAGAAAATGTCATCACATGGACCCTTTAAATGATTAAACGCACAAACCATACACAAAGGGGTTTGTTAAGGTTGGCCGGACTTGGCCCCCCTTGTTTTAAAATTCCTGGCTACGCCTGTGCTAGGTGGAGAGAAACAAGTGGAGGCGAAGTGGCTTGCCTGCAGGATGCAACATGTGGCCCCAAGCTTGACTGGGATTCCTGACCTTCTGATCTTAAGTCACACAGCTTAACAACGAGGCCTATGCCCAAAAGGGAACTGGCATGCATAGTCAATACGGCTAGCTCAATGACGGCCATCTATGTACGAAAACTGCAACTACGTACACATTGTGCAGTGTTGAAAATGTTCCTAACACGCACGCTTGTTGCTCGTCATGTGTTCGAAATACGACGCAGCTGTTGTGCGTTGTGCAAGTTGAAGCTCAAAATGCTGATGCACGTGGATTGTCTGTAGGAAGTGACGTCATTTGAACGAGACCTATTATGAACTATTAATGCAGAGTTTCAAATTCAAACACACTTACATCATTTTACATCACATCACATATTACATCACACTTACATCACTTACAGTCATGCAACAAACAGTTGGGAAAATGTCAAACGTCTGTTTTTAAATTCACCTCTGAACATGTTGTGTACAGGGATGAAGGAAACTTGGTCTTCAATTGAACAATATACTTTTTCTCCTGTGATTTCAGGGATATTTAACGACTTGCACATTGTTGAGATTCTGTGTTAAAGATGTTGCATTCTGCCATTCTTATATAGGCCTATAACATTTTTTTCAAAAAACAGATGTTATGCAGAGATTCAGATTTTGTTTACACTGGAATACATTTTTTCTTACTGACCATACAGGTTGACATAAAGGTGAAAGTTGTATTACTACTTTAAAGATCAATAGTACTTTTAAATACTACAGACTTTTAAATACTGTTAGATGGGTGAAAAATATAAAGCTGGCTTTCACACTGTTTTTTTTTTAAGAATGTTCTTATTTTACCCCTCAAACCAGAAATTCTTGGCACAGAGTTAGAAGGCACACTAGGCAACATTGAGGTGGACTTGGACGCCAGATTCGCTTCAATCCGAACCCAGGAAACTAACTTAGGTAATAAACAGGTGCTTGATAATGGATTACAAGTCATTGTAAGTCCATCACAAGTCATCCAACTCAAAAGCTATTCAAATGAAGTGGGTCAAAGGCATTCATTTGTTATTTTTATCCCCCTGTTTCTTGTGACTGGACTTGTGAATGGTCTTTTGAATACCTATGACAGCACTTGTGATATACATGTGATCCATTACAAGACTTCGACGACAGCACGGGTAATAAGCCAGTTGATATTTCAGCTGTGCTAGTACAATTTTTCGTTTTGGGTTTTTACAATATCCCACTTGCATGCAAAACTGTAGTAGGTACGAATGGAATTAAAGTGAATGTACAGCATATGCTTTTGTTGTAATTTTCAGAAATACATGTAAATGGATTTGGAGGATTAGTATGTTAAAGCAAATATTCTTAAACTGACTTTGTTTCATGTTTTGGGTTCTTAGATGTTGTAAAAACCAAGAAAACCAATCCTGTTCGTGTAGTCTGGTTCCCTGACCCCACTTAAGGTAAAACAAAGCAATTAATAGACGTTGGGGAATTATAAGGTCAGAGAATCAGTCTAGCTGACTTGTACCCCTTCACAGGTGAGTAATCAATTGCAAGGAAAATGCGGAATAACTAAATATGAAAAATTAGGAGCAGTTTAAAAAAAAAGCCAGTTTTCTCCAACGCTGGTCGGCTGACCAGCGTTGGGAATTGATACAAAAATACGACTTTACTTAAAAATGTCAGCACACCAAGAGCCACGATTGTACGGGATGCTTTAGACTGTCATTCCCCAACAGTCCAGTAAAGAATTTCGTGGTAACTTGATCATTTTGTTTTTGATGTTTGCTAATGTTGTATCTTCCCTTTAAAGAAACAGTTCTTGTACGTGTACAAATGTGAGTGCAAAATTTCCCCCTCCAAAAAAAACCCCATTGTACAGCATAAGGATGCTATGTGTGTTCCAATGTTTGTGCACAGCAAGTGTCCATCTTTTCTTTGCTTGCGTGAAAGAATGCGAAATGAGGATTCAGTAATAACCATGTACCCATAGACTTCTTTGCAAAGTTGAAAACATGAAATCTTGTTTAGCATATGTGCAATGTCGTATAATTATAATTTACAAAATCTGCCAGAAATCAAAAGAAACGCAAATGCCCGTCAGAACATTTGCAGTATTTAGGAAACGTACACTGAAAATTCAGTATTCCTACATGTATACTGGGAATTTAGAGAATGTTGGAACTTTGCATCTGAGGGTTGAAATGGTCACTGTTTTCTTTCTATTATAGGGAACTTTGTGACTGACATAATGCTGGCCTCCACCAATGCTGATGTAGCATTGCTGAATTCAGGGACTTTCCGGTCCGACATGATCCACCCAGCTGGCTGGTTTAAGAAGAAAGACCTGACGTGTCTCCTGCCAATGGTTGACTCGTTGGTTGTGCTTCAATTAACTGGTAATTACAGCATTTAAGAAAGAAATTGAAAAGATTTGGAAGATTGATCTTGGTTTTGTTTTACTTCAAGTTGCAAAACACATCACTGCAGTATAAGTACTCCGTATGTTATTTTAGGGATCTCGCGGCCTGAAAAAAAACCTGGAAAATTCATGGAATTTTACTTTCAATTTTCGGGTCTGGAGAAGTCATAGAAATTTGTAAAAATGACAGAAGTCTTGGAAAAGTCATGGAATTTTCATAATTTAGCATCGGAAATCTGAATTTTGTACCTGACAAAATGCGACAACATTGGCTAATGCTAGCATTTTGACTTCAATTTATTTTGCCCCGTGAACAAGTTTTACAGTTGTGATGTGCATTTTGATGAACGATGTTGTGGATTTTCATAATGTGGTCATGGAAAAGTCATGGAATTTTATTTTCCTAAAGGAGCAGGAGTCCTGTTACATGCTTCCACAAAAATAACGAAGTTCTCAGGTGCATTGCATAATTTTGCTTAGACCCCCTTTGAAAAAAATTCTCCAAAGTTAACTCATGTTTAAGGTGTAAACAATTAAGGTAAAAACAATTGTTGACTGCTGTGATGTGGGATATGACGGTTTGAACACCCAGAGGCACATATTCGCCGAGGGTGCTATGCGTCCCAAGGAGGTTAAAAACGACATATCCCACATTACAGTAGTCAAAAATTGTTTTGTTATATCATGCCAATAACTCTAAAAGATACATGGTTGTAGCCTACTGTATGAGAAGTAAATATTAAATCACTGAGATGCAACCTTTGATAACTGAAGGTTTGATGTCCTGCTGGACACGAGACTGAGCGTTTGACGTTGCAGTTCTCATTGCGCAGAGCTAGTGCGCTGCCAGGTTCCACATGCGGGCGCAACGCGCAATGAAAGCAATGTGATATCACCCTCAGTGTGTGACATGCATTTTTATTGTCCAGACACGTGGCCGTCCTAGACCAATGAAATTACAGTATCCAAGCACGATATAACAATAACATTTCATCAAAGATATAACGTCAGTTGATGCCAGATAACTATACCATATAACTCTATCAGATACATCAGACATATATAACTCTTTCTGCCTTTTACATTGATGTCAAAACCTTAGTGTTAATTTTTGTGACATTTCTGTCAGTTTGTGAGAGCTTTTGCTCAGTTTTTTTTTATAAAAAGTGCAGTTCCATTATTTGGGTTTTTTCCCCAAACTTTTATATCTGTATGTGCTTCGATAGCTACACGTTCAGAAATTTAGTTAGCAAATTCAAAGACGAGTCTGACGTATATTTGTAAGGAAATAATACAGTTTGGTTTGGTTTTTCACCTAGTATAAATGCATGTAGAACTTTGGTTGTGGCAATGTTGTTTTTGGAATTGTATGTTATTCCATCAGGAAAATGACCCATGTTGATCATAACTAATGTTTTGTGAATGCAGGCATTCAGCTGTGGCAAGCTCTAGAGAACGGCGTCTCCCAACATCCTAAGAAAGATGGCCGCTTCCCTCAAGTAGGAGGAATGAAGTTTGGATTTAACCCCGAGGCTTCCCCAGGCTGTCGAGTGGATCCTTACTCCATTAGTGTCGGGGGTCAGCCTGTTTCTCCAAGTAAGGTAAGTACCAGGATCATTTGCATTTATCCCAAATATGGTACTGGTACTTAACACACTGTCATTTTATAGCAAAATCAAGAAGTGTTCATGTAGGTGATTTCCAACAATCACTCAATTAACTGATCGTTGGGAATAAAGAATTTTATTTTATGAAGAAATCATGTTTCGTAATCAAAAGGTTGTGCATGGTTTTTTCACTGTTTTCTCGAAAGGTGTAATATCCACTGAGCTGAACTTCAACAGTTTAGGGTTTGCACAATCTTCATTCTATAAATTTGTGGTACACTTTGTGTCCCTGTTGCATCTGTCATCTAAAATTGTTACCCCTCAGCCGAGAGGCTCGAGGGGTATTGTCAACGCCTACGGCGTCCGTCCGTCCGTATGTCTGATGTTCCTTTCAGGACACATCACCCCACTATTTTCACAATAGAAAAACATCACCCCAGAAGAGAATCTTTAGAAAAAGGGATAATGGGAACACAATGCTATCACCCCACAATTCCGTCTGGCTGGAACGTCCGTCCGTCCGTCCGTCCGGGCAGCTTAGTTTCTGGATGATAACTTGAGTTAGAAATGTTGTTTGGGATTGTAACTTCGGTAGGGGGTTGCCCTTGGGAGTAGGTAAATTGGGATTGGTTTTGGGGTCAAAAGGTCAAAAGTCAAGGTCACCGTGGTGAGTTAAACGTAAATGGTTTCCGGATGATAACTTGAGTTAGAAATGAGATTTTAATGTCTAACTTTGGTAGGGGGTTGCCCTTGGGAGTAGGTAAGTTGGGATTGGTTTTGGGGTCAAAAGGTCAAAGGTCAAGGTCACCGTGGTGAGTTAAAGGTAAATGGTTTCCGGATGATAACTTCAGTTAGAAATGAGATTTTGGTGTCTAACTTTGGTAGGGGGTTGCCCTTGGGAGTAGGCAAGTTGGGATTGGTTTTGGGTCAAAGGTCAAGGTCACTGTGGTGAGCTAAAGGTAAATAGTTTCTGGATGATAACCTGAATTAGAAATGAGATTTTGGTGTCTTACTTTGGTAGTGGATTGCAAAGGTCAAGGTCACTGTGGTGAGTTAATAGTTTCTGCATGGAATGTCAGTTTGCCCTTTTCGACAAACTTCGGCTGAGGGGTTTCAACAGCAACGCTGTTATTTTATAATTCTGATGCACTCCTTATTAATGCAGTGGTCCTCCAAAAGTGGTCGTTAATTGCAAACTACCTACCCAACAAATAAAAAATCATTTGAAGTCATTGGTGATGATGCTTGAATGGCAAATTACAAAATAAACAGTTAACAGGGACAGAAATATGCACACTTTAAATCCTTTATTTATAGAATGACACATACGAAAATACATCAGTTTTTTATACGTTGATGAAATCTTTACACCCATAATAGTCAGGTGGCTTAGATCTAATATTCGTCAAGATCGTGACCGACTGGTCCAAAGCACCAAACTTGGCAGATAGATTCTTATGGACCTAGAGAAGATATTTAGAAGGGGTGACACCTGAAATTATTTTTGGAAGGGTGCCTAATTTGCATAATTTGTTAATACCTGCGTGTAATATATTTATTCCCATATGGGGGTATATTTAAAAAAAAACAAAATTGAAAAGTGTATTTTGGGGATTCTATATCTTTACTTAAATAACATTTTCCAAAGCATATAAGTGACTGAATAATTATGAGGATATAGAAACGATCCAAAATGGCTACTATAATGCCCTAAAGTTGCGCGCATTTACCTTGTCTCCAGATATCATCAATTAGTCTTGCCAAACATCAGCATTGATGAACTTCAAATTCACCGAGTGGCTTACTGGCACAGTTACCCTATTAAAACCTTATGTAAAATCATGTGAACAATGATAACATTGTGATATTTAGCCCAGAAAACAAATAACTGGAAAAAAAAACGAGGAGTCCATAAATTGGGCTAACAAGTAGGTGAAGGGTTGGAAGACTGGAACAAGTTCAAGGAAAGTCCCAAAATTATTGTTGAGAAAACGTTTTGGCGTAGACAAAATTATTGTGAACAACAATAATCTCTTATTTGGGGGGATTTCTTTGAACTTGTTCAAGTCCCCACATTACCCTTCCCGTAGTAGCCCAATTTACAGACACCACATTTTATCCCCTTTTTTGGTCTTTTGGGCTAAACACCAAGATGTTATCAATTTTCACATGATTTCCACTTATTTTTGTTAGGGTAACTATGCCAGTAAGTAACTTTGTGAATTTGAAGCTCATCAATTCCCACGTTTGGCGAGACTAGTTGATGATATCTAAGGAAAAGGTAAATGTGCGTAACTTTAGGGTACAATAATAGCAATTTTGGTTCTTTACTATGTCCTCCTAATTATTCAGTCACTTATATGCTTTACAAAACGTTATTGAAGTAAGAATATGCAAGTAGAATCACCAAAATACACTTTTCAAAAAAAAATAAAAAATAAAAATATACCCGAATATGGGAATAAATATATTACACGGCAGGGATTAACGATTTATGCAAATTAGGCACCCTTCCCAAAAGAATTTCAGGTGTCACCCCTTCTAAATATCTTCTCTAGCGCTATAAGAATCTTTCTGCCAAGTTTGGTGCTTTGGCCCAGTCGGTCACGATTCCGACCATATGCCACCTGACTGTAAGGGTTAACCCTTTGTCGGACAGGGTTGTCGAAATGTTATAACCTGAGCATTAAATCAAAAAAATGTGTGCACCAAGGGTTTAACAGAACAGACCCATTTTAAACAATGTGTCAGTATTATAACTTTACTGCCCTTTTTAAGAGTGAAGAACTTTTATCAAAAATTAAGTAGTATTGTTTTTCCATGTACAGATTTATAGATTGTGTACCAAAGACTATATAGCCCAAGGTAAAGATGGTTATGATGTCCTCCGAGCCTGCAAGCATCTGTCGTCCAGAGAGGAGGGTCCCATCCTGTCTACCATCGTCCAGAATCACTTCATGTCCATCCACATAGTCAAGGGTCTCAAGCCCTGCCGTTCAGGCCATAGGCAGAGCCTGATTAGTCTCAATAGGTAAGGGCACTTGGTCAAATTCTTTTAGGCTGTTTGTCTCCTGTGAAAAAAATATCAGCTTGGGATGTCGCCTCTTGAAGACAGTACAGGTCCATCTCAATTCGTATCCCGGACGGGTTCTGAACAAGTTGCAGGTAAAATCATTCACTTGGCAAGAATTGAAGCTCTGTGTGTCCGGGACATGTTCCAGGAAAATGTTCATTAGCAAACTACTTGACTCACCAATACTGATAACTACCTTGCAGGAAGATTGCGGGGAAGTTGTTCAGAATCCTTAAATTTATACCCAATTAAATGTCTGCAATTTTTCCGGAACTCATCCCGGACGGATATGAATTGATATGCGCCCTAAGTCTTTTGAAAACATTGGCACTAATCATTCTGTAGACAAAGAGTTATTTGGGATGGGGAGAAGTGGTGTTTTTGTTTGTTTGGGGGGAGGGAGAGATAGCCTGGAATGGTCTCCAACATGGTCAACGTTCAAGCTTCATGATTTCTAAAGCAGGCTGTCTTTCATTAATTAGTGCCTTTTGCAATTTTGTGTATGGTAATCATTTGACTTTGAGGAAAATTAATTATTTGATCTGATGCGTTAGTCTTCTTCAAAGGGAATGTATGTACCTGAAATGACAATTGTGGATGCACATTAATTTGTTAAATGTGTTGACTCTGCCTTGCTAAAGATATGAATATTGCTGGTAAAAATCAATGCAAAAATATTTACTCGCAAATTTGATGGCACTAAATTTTGTGTTTGTTAAGCTGACATATATGGCTTATCAGTGGGCTCACTAGATCGTAGCTAATTATAGGGCTGTGCATTGGAACCGGGTTCCCGAGTACCTGACCGTTGATGGCAGGATCTGGTTCCAGATTATGGGATCGTGTACCACAATTTATAATTTGATACCACAGTTGAGGTTGTGATGTTCTGCAGTTCTGAAGATATACATTTTCCATTTTTAAGCCGTGTCCACTGTCTCATGGAATTGCCTAGTGAACTCTATAGTTCAAGAGTTGAGGTAGTTGTAGGTCTCATTCAAATGACGTCATTTCCTACAGACATCCATGTGCATTGGCATTTTGAGCGTCAACTTGCATAACGTGCATCGGCTGCGTCATATTTCAAACACATTTCGAGCAACAAGCATGCGTGTTTGGAACATTTTTAACACTGTGCAATGCGTGCTTGATTGCGTAAAATTTGCAGTTGCAGTTTTTCTACAGAGATGGCCGTCATTGAGTGAGCCCTATTACAGGGTGCTGCATGGTCTAAAGTGGTATGTCTCTTTCTACTTAATATGAAGACGTCACAGTTTAATGCGTCAGGCCAGCCTAGACCTGGCCGAGAGGGCCCAGTGCACCATCTCACCAACAGTGGAGGGACGCATCTTCCATCTGACCCAAGAAGAGCGCCACCACTTGACGGATCGCCAATCGCAGTTCATACTTGATTACAAGGAGGAACTCGAGATACAGCTGACGGACAATAACAACACTCCATTGCATTACGCTGGTATGAGTCAGTGCTATTGTGGCCTATAACAGGGTGTCCAAAAAAAAAAAAAACCTCAAAGCACCCTCTTTTTCACAGGTTTTTAAAAAATACAACAGAAATCTTGATACGTATTTTACAAGTTTAGTTCCTTAGCTTTCCTACGACAAAACATCTTTTGAATTAGAAAAACATTTAGTGAGTTATGGTCACTAAAAAAAGTGCGTCTTTTTTGGGGGGGGGGTTCCATGGTCTGAATTTCCACTTACAAGGATTGAAATGGATTTGGAGTGAAGGAAATTTTGCTGTCTTAATTTCGTAATTTTGTTTGTTTGTTTGTTTTTATTTTTTTGTGGGCAAAAATTGTCATTTCTCTCTTTGGAAGAATGGTAGTCCCGAAAAGGACTGTTCTGTATAACTTCTTAGGTGTTTATTGTTCTGCTGTGCCCTCTGCTTGCTTTTTTGTTTTAAGCAAATGCTTGATTATAAATTTCCATTACAGAAAATACCTCACCTCTGTTTACCTACATTTGCATATCAGCGCGCATGCGCACAAACATTCGCTGAAAAGAATAGCGCCCAAGCCACACCCTCATTGTCCACTGCATGCCCCAAGCCCACAAAGGACCCTGTAACCTAATAGCTCGTCCTAGTTTTTTCAGCGACGCGTAGCGTCAACACGTACAAATTAACTGTACTCGCTGTGCCTGTTAAAAAAAACAAAAAAAACATGGCGGCCTCCGCCAAAAAAAGTAAACTATTACTGTTAGCCCAAGTCATTCTTCTAAAGGAAATTAAATCACCCTCCATCGTACACTCCAAGCGTGATATTTACGCCACTTCAACCGGATTTAATCCCCGGGTTCGACGGTAGGAAATACCCCGGGAATAGGCACGTCTCTCCAGCGAGAGTCACTGCAAGATTTCCGGAAAATCCCGCCACTACGACCGGGTCTACATGTAATTCCCGGGCTCGACGGTAGGAAACACCCCGGGAACAAGCACTTCTCTCCAGAGAGAGTCACTGCAAGATTCCCGGAAAATCCCGCACATTCGACGGTCTACTAGTACTACAGCACATGCAAGCAGCGGAATCAGAGATCGCCACTCATGTGCTTGCGGGTAGGCGAGGCTTGGCGTTCAAAACCCAATGGTCCCTCGGTAATTCGACCAGCCCGCCCGGTCACAGAGGCGGGGCACCACCCACCACCGCCTTCTTCATCAACACTACACGCAAGTACAGACGTACACCATGATCAAGCTTTCCGGGCGAGCCCGAGATTTCTCCATCGCCTTCAATAGAATCAACACTAAGTGGGCTTTTTTGTGTATTTTAAATATTTACTTTATTGTGAACACTGGATTTAAATGAACTGAAATTTCAAATTTTGAGAACATTTACAAGGACGGGGCCATGCATGCCACGCGATATCGACACGTGGTGCGGTGCAGCATGGCTACATGTACACATGGAACCAGACTTGCCATATGTACGTGGTTTTGCCCTACAGAGGGCGCACTTTCTTAAGTGACCTTCATGACTTTGCGTTACCGATGGGTACTCGTCGATCGTCTTGGGATTTCTCCACACTCTTTGAAGGATTTTGGGGTTCCTTTTTAACTCGGAGACTAGGATTCCATTCTACCGTGGATTTTTCATCCAATGTACGCACCGTCGTGAAGTTTTTCAACATGACTTCAGCAGTTAATCTTACCAACTGCTCGACTGTCCACGGCACTGGGATTTGGCACTGGGATTTGACCCGGCGCGGACCGCCTTCCGAGCCCAGCCTGTTTGCGGTTCCAACTTGCGTTTTCAATTGGACTCGGACGGAGGATTGACTTCGGACATTCGGGCCGATTGGATTGTGATTAGTTATTCTTTGGAGTCGTCTCCCATGTTCGAGATTGCCTTCTGGGTTTTCTCTTATAATGTTATTTATTCAGTGAAAATGCGTGATAACACTACAGCCTTGCCGCCTTTCCATTAGCAGCACTCGACCGGCTATCGGTAAGCTTTCAGTTTCTCCATCCTATAACAGTGGGTTGGTCCTTTTGAGCATGTTCATATTACAGGCTCACATGTATCTACGCTCAAGCTACCTTTGGATAGTACTTTTTAGTAGGATGCAACCTGATGCCACTTTAGTTTGATATCATTACAAGATTGTTACTCAAACGTTACTGGCGTCTGGATGCAGCATTCTTTCCCTGCTTCTTCCCAATATATACGATTGGGTTGGGGTTTGTTGTGTAGGAGGATTCCTTATTTGGATTCTTTGATATTCTGTCATTTGAATATCTTGCTTAGCTGGCCTGTTTATATATTCATCAGCCTGTTGGGATGCTTCGTTGATTTTTACAATAGACCAAGGATTATTGCCTTACTCTTCAATCTATCTATGCCACGGGGCCTTCACAGAATATTCTTCTTTGTCTGGTGCCCTTGCAAGTTGCCATGATATCTCCCTTAACTGATACAGTTTTTATTGGAGATTTTATCATTCTGCTTTATTGTCTAGATTGGTGGAATTGCATTTGGACTTATTGCTAATTCTGGCTATTGGGCATTTTTGTCTTGAATGAATGTTTCTTTGCATAATATCAGGTTATATAGCAAGACTATGGTGCAGGATTCCATACTTTGAGATAAGTTAATCCTCATAGGTGCTTGGCATGCATGTACATCTTCTACGTCGGTCTCCAACCGGGTCTCAAACCAGCATGATTCAGCTAGGAGTTTGTAGACCGGCCTTCTCTTCATCCTTGGCTTACAGCAGAATCTCGACATATCTCCACTGCTTCGAGTCTTTAGAACAAGTATTTGTCCTACAGAGTCCGGCCAGATGTGGTTTTATGTAACTTCATACATAAAGGGGTTGTCAGACACTTCTTCGAAGCATTGTTCAGAATTCTTATCTACCTCGGTTATCCCTGACCACGAGCTTCTGCCTCAACATACACTTGTTTGTTGCTTTAGAGAAAGTTATCTTTCCTTAAGGAATGAACTAGACCAGGATACTTCCAACTGGATCAGGTTTCGGCTTACTTCAACCTTTCTCAGTCAGTAGCAGTTTGACGAATGGCAGCCCATTATCAGACTCGACATGCAGCAAGGAATTCAGATGGAAATGCTTTCTACTTCCCTCCAGTCTCTTGAGACGGTTGGTTTGCTGCTTCCATCAATCTTTGGGATAATAATGTCCTTGTACAGTACCCATTCATGGATCATCAGAAGTTGGAGTTCCACATACCTACAAGGTTTCGCTACAGACCTTTGGATTTTCACACCTCCTTTGGGTCTTTATAAGAATCACCGTTGTTGTGACAACATTCCTTTTTACAGCAAAACAGATCTATTTGCTGTGGTACTTAGATGTTAGGCTACAGCAGACCTTACATGTAAATGTATCTCCAGTTTAGCCTTTAACAGTCTACCTTACTCGCACTTGAGGTGGTTTTTCATCTTCAGTATTAAGCTCCTTCAACTTCGTTTCAGGCTTTACTGGGGAAGGTTAAACACAACGTGATGGCATCAGAACCTTCTGGCATCTTGATGATAGACCTAGTTCCCTGGTGCATGACACACAGAAGCTCTGTGCAGCCTTTCCTTTGTCTTCCCATCTACGCTAAGAGTCACCTCCAAAGCGATTCCAGTTACCCATCTTAGCTATGACCCACTGCACCTTTTAGGACTATGTACCAGGTAACTACACCTTCTACCATCGCATTGGGTACCTCGGACAGGGTTTGAGATTCCATCTGGATGGTCATTTAATACCTAGCACTTGGCCAACTATAGAGAGCCAGTTGCATTCCTTCAACTAAAGCTATTGACAGTGCTCAAGACCTGGCATTTGCTCATCCAAAGTCACAATCAAGCTTGTCTTGGTCCGGATGGACAATTCCACAGTTCAGATGTAGTGTACTACTTGCTTCATCCGGGGAACTCGCTCTTTCTTCTTGCCTGTCCACTTTAGAGACACCCCGTTGGCTGTTGCTTTAACGTTTCACCTGGCCAGAAAGAAGGTGTTGAATTCACTTCAACAGAATGATTTCTTCTCCCTTCAGTATTCAGACACAGGTCCTCAACATTCTCAGTATGCTACCAGTACTTGCACCTATCTACATGTATTTACATCCCTTCCAGGCTACCAGCTTCCAATTCCAGCCTTTCGCCAAGTTTATACTCATCCTGTAGTCCTCTGGTCTAGAAGAATCCTTCAGCTTCAACGCGGCAGGAATTCATACATGTAGCTCCTTTTTGGCTACAGCAGCCATAATCCCTTTACTCCTGGACCACCTTGGTCTCACAACAATAATTCTACACGCAGACATTGCTACATGTACATGTACTCTCCATCTTGTACCTGGATGCTTTCATTATCTGAAAGCTACAGTCTTTAGAGTCAGAAGCAAGTTGATTCCCCATGGGGTATGATAGTAGCTGCCAATCCCCGATCTGCATCTGCACCTTCATTTGGGATTTCGCTGACAGTCAATCCAGTTTCAGATATCTACTGTCCAGGGTTACTGATGAACCATAATTGTAGTCCTCTATCAGGGTTCCAATGATACATCTACAGTTTCCTCAAAATCACTCGGATGCACGGCAGGTTTATCAGTTGACCGCCTACTGTAAAGTACCGGTAGATAGGCCTACCATCTTTGGATCCAAGTATCATCATTGGGTCACTCGCCTTAGCCCCTTGCGGAACCAACAGGTACATTGAAACTCTCCTTTCTGTCGGGTTGCGAAACCCATATTCTTACTGGCTGCTGTAGTAGCTTGCCTTAAGAAGGGAATTTCACTAAGTTACCAGGTCATAGCCATTGGCACATGACTGTAAATTTACTTCAAGCCTCTGTGACCATGATCGCTCGATTGTCGGTGCCACCAAAGAGTGCCCTCCCAAAAATCGAGGATCAAAATCTCAAGCTCAGGAAACACCCAGCGTGACAACTTCCTGAACTCAACTGCTTGGAGCTTCCTTTTCAGATACAGGGAACAGGGCTCTCTTTTTCAGGTATCAGAAAAGCGGACTGCCGGAAGAACCCTTACACTGTCACACCTTGCTTATAGCTGTTGTGCAAGCAGAGGGTTGCATTAGCAGAAAGTCTTCAAGGAAACTGCACAATCAGCAGCCCGCAAAGCCCGCAAAGCTCCTTTAGAATAGATCGGCAGCACCCGGGTATGTCTATATAAGCAACCTTTTCATGCCATTTAGAATTGCATGTAGGCCTAGTTTAGACTTTCAAGTACCACTGCATGTCCCTTCCCCCCTTGAGACTTTCGGTGCTACTCTGCAAATGTAGGTAAACAGAGGTGAGGTATTTTCTGTAATGGAATTCCTAAAATCCAAAGGGATTTTCCATTCTAGTAAGAAAATACTCACCTCTGTTTACCATCCCTCCCTTTAAAAAAAAAAAAACAAAAAACTAGGACGAGCTGCATGTCCCTTCCCCCCTTGAGACTTTCGGTGCTACTCTGCAAATGTAGGTAAACAGAGGTGAGGTATTTCGCAGAGGTGAGCACAAACATTCGCTGAAAAGAATAGCGCCCAAGCCACACCCTCATTGTCCACTGCATGCCCCAAGCCCACAAAGGACCCTGTAACCTATACAGGGTCCTTTGTGGGCTTGGGGCATGCAGTGGACAATGAGGGTGTGGCTTGGGCGCTATTCTTTTCAGCGAATGTTTGTGCGCATGCGCGCTGATATGCAAATGTAGGTAAACAGAGGTGAGTATTTTCTTACTAGAATGGAAAATCCCTTTGGATTTTAGGAAATTCTGCCTCTTCTGTACACAGCCAAGTCCTACCCACACACCCTGACCACGCCCATCCCTGAGGTGGTGGTATCCAGCGACATGTTCTCTGGTAGTCACGGCAATGAAGATGACGATGATGACATAGCCTCCCCCTCCTCCTCCTTTGTTGCTATCTACGATGACGATGAGATGAGATGCATGTGGACAGCTGTACAGCAAGACGATGTGACGGAGGTAGGCTGTATTCATTGAGCTGTTTTTTTTTGTAATCTTGCAACCGGGGGAAGGAGAATTTGGCCCCCTCCCCCCCCCCCCCCCCCCCCCCCCCCCCGCCCGATAAAAGTGCTATTTGGTAGGCCAGTAAACATTTTCATGCTCATGCATGCACAGTTTGAGCTCAATCGATTTAGTGTTTGTAAGTATGATCTACAGAATTCCACATATCCATCCATGAATTAGTGCATTTTTCTTTACATGGTCAGTTGAGAGAACAAGACATTTCAGTACCCTGAGAACACTATGTCCTATTTAAATGTAGTTGGTGTCAAAATGTCCATGAGACCGCAGTCCACAAACTGGTAAAGGCTTGGTGACATGGCTAGCCATGCACAATAGTTACAGGCTTGGTGACATGGCTAGCCATGCACAATAGTTAAAGGCTTGGTGACATGGCTAGCCATGCACAATAGTTAGAGCATTTCTAACTGCCCCGTCAAGTGTTTTTGTTATATCACAATTGTAATTATAAGATAGTTGACCAGCCAAACACTATTATAAGATGGAATTTTGCGTCGGGGCGATATAAATCAAATTAGGTTTTGCCCTTCACCGACGTTTTTTAAACACTGTATACTCAGTGTGTTACCTCCCGAGTGAAAGTTGGAAAAAATCACTCGGGTGGGACTCGAACCCACGACCTCCTGCTTTCTAGTGCAGATGTCTTACCACTCGACCACCGAGCTAACGGGATCGGTTGGCCGGTTCGAATCTGATGTACATAGCAGCGGGTACCGCATAAACTATTATAAGATGGAATTTTGCATCGGGGCGATATAAATCAAATTAGGTTTTGCCCTTCACCGACGTTTTTTAAACACTGTATACTCAGTGTGTTACCTCCCGAGTGAAAGTCAGCCAAACACTGTTAAGACTTCAATTTCAAAGGCTGTGGCCTTGTAGTCTGGGGTGTCAAACGCAAAATTGTGTGGGTTATTTAGCACATTGTGGGTTCAAGTACACTCTGAAGGCTGGTTCAGACTTCAAGTAAATTTTTTCAATTTAATCAACATTTATTTCCATAATGCCACAATTTTCATAAAACAGTGTAACAAAGTGAAGTAATAAATAATATTATTAAGATTATACATGTAGATCTTATAGATAAGAAAGAAAGAACAATAAATCAATGGGTAATTATGGAGGCATCTGCTGAAGCCGGGGGCTTATATGGAGATGCCTTGACAAAACCAAACCCAAATAACAACTCAACAAATACAGAGGCAGACTAACAATCGGACAAACATAACTACAATCAAAAGTGATGAATGTAAAGGAAGGGGGAGGCCCTTTTTTCCCCCTCCAAAATGGCCGCCCGACCAGGCTATTTCAGCTGATCAAATAAATAATGGGAAAAAACTCAAACACAATAAAGTTAACAGTAACGAATTAGTGAGCAAACAAAATGAATGATAGACAACAAATTCATTATAATCTTACACAAAATAAACAAACAAAACAATCAAAAGGCAAACAGAAATACACGAAGAAAATGAATTGTAAATGAAGTTTTACTGTGATGTTTGCTGCTACCCTAACAAGTTTTCCATGCACTGAATTTTGCATGGAGTACAGCTTTGAGTCTTGTGGTGTATATGTGTCGTCTTGCAAGATGCTTTGTAAAATACAGTAAAAATGATGTGGATATACTGGCACTATGCTTTCTTGTCCATTTTAGGTGCAAAGACTACACCAGGAGCAGTATGTCAATCTGAGTTTCATGTATGAACAGACCTCGGCCCTTCACGTTGCTGCTGAGCATGATGCATTGAGAGTGGCAGAGTATCTGCTGCAAGAAGCAAAGATGGACCCAGACGTCAGAGATGCAAAGTGCAAGGTAAACTCTGAGCCAGGACTGGTATGGGACAGTGGTGATTTCCTTTTTCCTCTGTCTCTAGTGACCATGGTTCGAATCTCAACTGAAAATCACTGCACTGTGCGGATTGGGTTTGTCTAGCTTCACTTGATACTGTAGGTTTATAAAGGATTAAATTTGTTTGGGGCATTTCCCTGTGTGACATGTGATTCTTGGTTGCATTTTGTGTTGATAAAATCTGGGAGTTCTTTTCTTTAAAATCTTGTGCCAGCATCAAGTATTCAGAGACATTCTACTGTCTGAGTTGTCATTTTTTTATGGAAAAAAGGAGCTATGTATTTTAAGTTTCTTAGTTTTCTTGGGTCCATTTTTATGTGATAGTTTAACCATACAAGTTTCCCGATGTGATAAGGATTGAAGTTGTTCTCAAATATAAGCGATAGAATGTTTTATGGTTTTAATTGTTTCTCAGCTGACTTCTGTCAATCTAAATGGTGTGATTAATTGATTTACGAATGGGAAGAGTTCCGGACAAGTTGCGGGTAGAATCATTTGAGTTGTCCAGAAGATGTTCTGCATTTGTCCCGGACATGTTCCGGGGAAAGTTTCATAAGCAACTGCTTGACTCACCAATACTGATAATTTCATTGCGGGAAGATTACGGGGAAGTTGTTCAGAAACCTGCCAATTATACCCCATACAGTATCTGGAACTTGTCCCGGATATGATTTGACACGGGCCCTTAAGGCAAATTGTGCAGTTTTTTAAACTGTTGAAGACTATGGTAGTACAAAAATGTATACTACCAATTAAATAAAAATCAAATCTTGTTCTCAGGATGTCAATAAGGCATACACATGTAGGACATATTCAACCACACGTTTTGCAGAATTTAGTCTTTTCCAACGTGTTTTGATCAATTTCTAACAGTCTATTGTAAAAATTATATTTACTTTATACAGAACACCCCCTTGATGGTGGCTGCCATAAAAGGCAACCTTGAGATGGCAGAGCTTTTAATTCATAATTCAGCATCTCTAGATACCGTCAATCAGGAGGGGAAATGTCCCAAAGAGTGCTTGCCAGAGAGCTGTTCAAGTCAGTTGATGAGCCTTCTAACTGTCCAGGGTAATGTTGAAGACAACCAGACAACTAGGAAGAATGGAGCTATGCTATAAGTACATGTTTTTTATTAATATTCTTGTCATGTTGAGACTCTCCAGGGTAGCCAAACACAATTTAATATCCAGAAAGCATGAAGCTGTACAGCAAGTCAAGTATCCCTGAAGAGGTCCAAGTCAGTTGATGCACATTCTATCTGTCCAGGGTAATGTAAAAGACAACCAGATAACTAAAAAAATATTGAGTTTCTGTTGTTTCCTTAGCCATGTCTAAATCAGGTGAGGAGCCTCTACAGGGTAGACAAATTCAATCAAACAATAACAATGGCTGGAGCTTTTCTACAAATGAGGGTTCCTTGAAGGATGTCTAGTCCAGGGTAAAAGACATCCAAACTACTCATAAGAAAGAAGCTTAAATCTTCCATCATCAGTTGATCGATTTCTCTTGCGTAACAAGGAAGCATCAAATCCTGCTTTTGGTTGACGTTTCTTTGTAGAACCTTCTACTTAATATGTCTGAGGAACAACACTTTCAAAGTTGAGCCTTGATTTCCTTCCTTTTGTTCATTTTACGGTGTTACAGGGAAAAGGGTGACTAGCTGAATTGAATGAGTTATTATAGCTTCTTTGAACACTGCGCTATTCAAGCTGTGCTAAGGTCTTGAAATACATTCAAGACAATTGAAAGCCTTTCTTAAATTCTACAGACCGAATCCAAGTTACTTAATGTGCCTTCAGAGTCAACTGGGTAATATTCTTGTAAAAAACAAATACACTTTAGTTTTGTTGAAAAAAAAAATAATGCAGGATAAAACTCAACCAGGGTAAGATCTTTTCCTCACTTTTTTAAATCAATATTTTTGCTGCCTTGTAAGTTGAAGGTTTCAAAGGCATTTTGACACACCGTGTTGCCTTTCATAGCGGACCAAAGTATACCTTCTGTTATTTTTAGTCTTAGTCATAGTTCACTTTAAGAAGTGTTTATTTGTAAATAAACAAGCAAATAAAATTGCAGTCCGTTGCTTACTCCGTGACCAAACATTAAATAATTATTTAAAAATGTACATTTGATTGTTATTGTAATTGTTTAAAGAAATTTTGAAGAGTTTTGTTGTTGTTTAATTGCCCACTGAGCCAACTTTATGAGCATTGTGGGTGCAAATATTCACTGTTGTGTGCTAATTGTAATGCTAAGTTTGATAGTGGCAATGAATTGTTTATGTGGAGAATTTATTGTATGAAACCTTCCACAAATTGGGAGTATACATGTAAGTTGCAAGGTAGCATTTGCCAATAAACCTTTTTTTAAAGATGCAATTTGCTTAAGTAAGTTCTTGAATTTTCCAATTTCACAGACGTTTTACAGCCTGACAGTGTTGTAAACATAAAAAGAGCTTATCTTCTCTCCATATCTCCAATGAAAGTGAAGTTTGAGAATTTTATTTCTTCTATTTTACTCTTTTTTGAGGGGGGGGGGTTCATTGTTTGCCTTGAGAGCCGCATGCTGTGTAAGAAACATAGAGGGTAATACATAACAAGTACACACACTCTTGTTTTACTATACTCCCGAGGACATGCTTTGTGTTTTCCTTTGTCCCTGTAATATAACACTCTCCCATAGACTAAGCACACAAACCTACTACAGAGGACTGTTTTGAAAAAAAAGACCCAACTCCCAACATGCCCAAGGACTGAAAGGATCTGTTGTTCTCCCTTTGTGTGTCTGTCCTTGGGGGGGTTATGTAGAACAAGTACACATTGTCTTGTTCCGTAGTTGTGGGGACATACACTCGTCTGTACGAGGTATTTGTGGGGACCAAAAATGCCGTGGGGACAGCAGAAAGTGCCCATAACTCAGTCCTTATTTGCCTAACAATAAAAAACTTCCCCATAACGCAGTGTAGGCCAGGGCACATTTACATGTTAAAGGCAAACTTTGGGTAGTACCATGCATTTTACCCTTAAAACTCAATTCAAGGTGCACATTAAGTCTGGTAGTGGACTCGGAGTCCACACAAATACTAAAGGCATTGCTCTGTATTGCCTTGCAGCAAGGGTACTTTGGTCGTATAAATTTAAGGTCCAAAGCAGGACATTTTTCTTTGCCCGTTACCTTGACACTTTGTAAGTTACACACTTTGTAATATACCTCTCAAGCATCATCATGATTAAGAATGGTTTTTCAAATGATTTCTATTTGTCGGGTAGGTAGTTTGATATTCAGCATCACTCTTAGAGGACGACTGCATTAAGGAGTGCATCAGAATTATAAAATCACAGACTGTAGATGTAATTTATAGAATGACCGACTTATAGTTTTCTCTGGTTTGCACGTGGCTGACATCTATTGATGTTTATGAGAGTGTACATGTGTACCAGTGAAGACAGTTCAGTTGAAAGGCCATGGCAATAGTGTGGTGCTGGGAAAGTAAAAGTTACACTTCAGTAATCGCTCCTACATGTACTTTGGATGACTTTAAATTTGTATTTGTTAACCTAAAGTAAGTAACCTGTTACAAGGCAATTTTTAGCATGCCATTTGATATGTTAGCATTACTACATTATATGTAAGCAATAATAAACATTTACGACTTAATATGCATATCTACAAGTGCCTGGCTATATACAAGTATTCAATGCAAGAACGTTTAAATATTATTGGTTTTAACAGTTCAAATTTAATGTGTAAACAGTTTCATAAGTACAATGTATATACATTTGTTGAATTACTTATCTTGTATGTTGCACCTTACTCTTGCTGTTCTGGTGTTAACGTTTGATTATTCATACCAAATTGGTGGGTTAATGTTGGATTAATCTACAGATGCTGTTTACAACTTAAGACTTTTCAAACAACCCATGTTCACTTTCAGCTGTATTATTGTCATTGTGAATATTTCAAGATCTGTGCCTTAAAACGTGTCTTAAAGATGTTATTGTAAGTTGGTCAAGTCCAAGCAATTTTCTCCAGTACAAAGTGAATATTCTGTGTCATTGGGTTATGCAATGATATGGATTACATTAACACATAGAAGCATTTGCCAGATCCAGTGTTTTGTGGGTAGACTGTCATGACTTGGTTTTTACTGTAACTCTAACAGGGTAGAAACACACATCAACTTGGCAAAATTGTTTAAGGTATATGTATTTATGAAATTGTGTCATCTCTGTATTAGCTTTTTTGGTGATGAAATAGGGTGTTTTTTGTTCTTTGATGAAATATTACTCTTCCAAAACAGCCAAACTTTATGCAAGTTTGTAATGTAAATCACATAGATGTATCTGATTTATCAACTATAAGTTTTAAAAGAAAGGGGGGGGGTTCTTATTTTTACTTTCCAAACATTTTCCTAATCTGCTGAAATTCATTTTAAGGATATGATTTTAAAGACAACTTTGAATGTGTGGACATTTTTAGTAACAGTTTTTCCGAAGATTGGGATGGTGTATTCAAAAACATTCCAACTCAACGTGCTAAAAAAACTTGTGTAAATAATTTACAAATACTCACAGCTGCATTATGTATTTTCATGTATTGCACTTTCTACTAGTTAATTTAGTAGAATAACATTTACTCTGTTCCGTCCGAAATTTCAAGAAACCTCTACTGAAAGCTGTAAATGAGGAGTGCAAAGATATCGTGTTGGGTGTGCTTTCATGCAAATCTGTAACATGTACATGTTCATCATGTATCTCTGCTCCAGTTTCTCTCAAACTATGAAAGACATTATTAATGAGTTATTGTTTATGACAACTTAGAATTTTTAGTGGTTACAAAAATGTGTACATGACAAATACCTTGAAACAACTCATGGTGTTTAATGCACATGCAGCCTTCTTTGCGTTTGCCAGTGGTAGCTTTTTGGATAATGAATTCGAACCAGTTTAAAGGTATAGTCCATCATTAGCTGTTCCCAATTTCAATTGGGAACAGCTATTGTTTTCGTTTAAGGTTTTTTTTTTCCTTGTTTTTTTCTTTCTTTTTTAGCTGTTTCGATGTACACATCGAAACAGCTCTTGTTTCTGTTATTTTTTTTTCTATTTTTTTCCCCCACTTTTTTTCTCATAGGATAACACGTGTTTTTGTTCTACAAGTCACTTTTGGCTTTTTTTCAAATCCGATCGACTTCAAACCTGGCACACACTTAGACCACCATCTGAAGATGTATGCCGAATCATGAAGTCATCATGACGTCATCACGTGTCACGTGACGTCATCCTTAAGGAGCATACTTTAAGGCCCTATATCTACAGAACCGGAAGTCCGATTTGGTTCAAACTTGGTATGCAAGTATTCCGGGACGTGTTATAGACGAAAATTGCAGTGACGTCATGATGACGTCATCGTGTGATTTTACATAAATTATTCAATTTTTATATCTCATAAAAAGAATGTGGTAAATTCGAAATTCTTTTTGTAACAGGTTTATTAGGTCATAGATAGATGCATAAAATTTCATCAAAAACGTGATTTTTTTAAATTCACATATAAGGGTAGTATGTCGGATCGTTATGAAACTTGGTGGGTAGGTAGGTATAGATAACAGCATCCAAAATCTGAAGTGACGTCATCATGACGTCATCATCTGATTTTTTATGAAATTTTCAAATTGAAATATTTTCTTCAAATTTTGCAAAAATTATATAACATAGGGTCCGATCGACTTCAAACCTGGCACACACTTAAACAACCATCTGAAGATGTATGCCGAAACATGACGTCATCATGACGTCATCACGTGTCACATGACGTCATCCTAAAAGTGCATACTTTAAGGCCCTATATCTACTGAACCAGAGGTCCAAGTGGGTTCAAACTTGGTATGCAAGTATTCCGGGACGTGTTATAGACGAAAATTGCAGTGACGTCACGATGACGTCATCATGTGATTTTATATGAATTATTCAATTTTTGGACCTTTTACTCAAATCTCATCAATGGAACATGGTAAATTCAAAATTCTTTTTGTAACATGTTTGTTAGGTGAAAGATAGATGCACAAAATTTCATAAAATGTGTGACGTCATCATGAGTTCATCAAAAACGTGATTTTGTGATTCACATATAAGGGTATGTCCGATCGTTTTGAAACTTGGTGGGTAGGTAGGTTTAGATAAAAGCATTCAAAATCTGTAGTGACGTCATCATGATGTCATCATCTGATATTTTATGAATTTTTCAGATTTTAATATTTTCTTCAAATTTGGCAAAAATGATATAAAATAGGGTCCGATCGACTTCAAACCTGGCACACACTTAAACCACCATCTGAAGATTCAGGTCGAATCATGACGTCATCATGACATCATCACGTGTCACTTAACGTCATCCTAAAACTGCATAGTTTAAGTTACTATATTTTGAGAACCTGAGTATCAATCTCGGTATGCAGATATTCCAGGAAGTGTTATAGACAAAAATCGCAGTAACGTTACGATGACGATTTTATATGAATTATTCAGTTTTTGGACCTTTTACTCATATCTCATCAATGGAACGTGGTTAATTCGAAATTCTTTTTGCAAAAGGTTTGTAAGGTCGTAGATAGATTTCAAAAAATGTGTGCCGTCATCATGACGTCATGAATTTCTTTTTTTTTTCATAGGATGGACACTTTTTGTATAGAATACGCATGTACATGTTCATTCGACCTGGATGAAACTCCTTTACGGCAGTCATTAATAAAACAGTCGAAGCAGCTCAGTGTTTGTCCACAAATACATTTCTAGTTTCATTTTCTTTTTCCACTTTTCCCCATAGGTTTTGTACACGTTTTTATTCTACAAGCCACTTTGGGAATTATTTTAAATCAGATCAACTTTAAACTCAGCAAAAGTCATTAACCATCATCTGAAGATGTATGCCGAAACTTTTCGTCATCGTGACGTCATCAGGGGTCACGTGACATCTATTTATAGATTCAATTTTACAGCCTTATAACTGTAGAACTATTTGACCGATTGATCTCAAATTTGGTAGGTATACAGACAGGGAAGAGTTATAGATGAAAATTGATATGTCAAGGTCACGTGACCTTCACTTCTGGTTTTACCGGAAGTGGTAATTTTAGACCCCTATATCATATTTCATGAATTATTAATCTGATTGGGTTGAAACTTCACATTAATACAAAGCTATGATGACAGATAATTATATTGCATTATTATTACTGTGCACTTAATTATTGTCATGTAATGATGTCATGAATATTTAATGAGACAATCTTTACAGACCTATAACTATAGAACCATTTGACCGATTGATCTCAAACCTGGCAGGTATACAGACTGGAAAGTGTTATAGATAAAAATTGGTATGTCCGGGTCATGTGACCTCTACTTCCGGTGTTACCGGAAGTGTTAATTTAAGACCCTAATTAGCATATCTAAAATCATTACATTATTTTCTACTGTCCAATAGACAATCAAAACAAGTTGGGAACAGCTCTGTGGTTGTTCAGTTACAACCACATCTAGTTTGTACATTTTGTTCGTTTGAAGCAACAAACGTGCTCAAAATCTAAAGAAGGGTGCTGAACAACTAACCTGATGAAGTTTCAGCTCAGCTTCAGCTGTATATTTCGAGAAAAACAGCATTTTAGGATCTCGATTTCAAATCAAAAGTTGCTGAATCATGTGTTGAATTGGGCCTGAATTCAGCATCAAAGACATGTTCTCACTGAGCCCATTGCAGCTATGCGATGTCGCGCACTGATGTGACGAATTATAGCAACCGCGCGCGCGCGTGTACGTCGTTTCAATGCTTGCGCGCACTTCACCGAATAAAAAAATGAACTACTAACGGAAATTTCCAACGATGGGTCTTAGGACGCACTGTTGGAAAGGCCTTCTTTTGTTGATTTCTTCAAAATGACAGCTGGCCAGAAAGAATAATTTCACAGGGAGTTTAGTCCCCTTACTATCTTTCAACCAAGTATGTTTTTCAACAATAATTACGTCAGTTACTTTTTGGATGGCTGCAAATGATGGACTATAGCTTTAAGACAAATTCCACTTTTCAGATATATCTCTTGGCAACTTCTCCTTTCAAGGTATTCAAAGAATTCAGAATATAACATGGTGCCACTTTGGCTCTTCAGTGATGTACATATTTTATTATGTACATGTAGATACTAACATTAATTTTTGCAAGTTTCCTTTATAATTTAATGGTGTTTTTAAGGCAGCTGTGAAGAGGTTGAAATTTATAGTTTTACATTTTCAGACACGGACGAGACAGTTCACTGAGCATGTTTGAAACATTTACACATGCATTTATTTATTAAAATATGACATTACATGTATTAATTCCAGCTTGTACTATGTTTTTGTTTTGTTTATATAAAGAGGTTCACACGTACTTTTATTTTACATTAAAATAATAATCTCTTGCATGCATATTTGTGCGAAATAAAAACCTTTACATGTCGTTTTAAAAAATGATTTTCCAACACTGTAATTACAATAAGTAAATTTTTTGAAATAGGAACTTAAGGAACAGGGTTGAAAGTTGAAACTTTTCAAATGTTAAAAAATTCATATGAAAATTGGAAAAAAGGGCTAGCCAAATATTTTTTTATAAATTGGGAAACTTTCCTTAAATCTGGTCAGTTGTTAAGCTGTTTGTCAACAACCATTCTAACACACTCATTACACTAATAACAGGAAACAATGTAATTAAGAACTGATTAACACAATTTTTGACACCATTAACAAATATCTAAGGGTTTTACCAAGCACAAATTAAATATCCTTACACGTTTATACATTTCCAGCTAGATCGAGACATAAAAAAACCAATAAATTACATTATTTTACATACACGTGTCCTCTCAGATAATAAGTTAACAAATCTTCTTGTTGTCAGCTCTTGTTTCTTAATGCTTTGGCAGTAATTTTGTAATTAATAGTTAAAGTTATCCTGTAATGTCTCTAAAAACAAAAACAAAATTTGCAGTTCAACATTACAAGCCCTCTGTTCTCGTGCGAAGATGTAGACTTTCAGAGTAATTCTTCCGGCCCACATGGAATTTAAAGTGATTTTTTTACATCGAGATTTTGCAAAAATACTTTTTAAAATGTGTACAATTTTTGCGAAGTGACCCAAAGGATAGAAATACATGTACAATACATGTACATGTATGTACGCTAATTGATAGTAGTTTTGTGCATCGGGTCAGGTTGACCATGCCAAAAATGACCTGAAACATTATACATGTAGATACATGTACCTGGTATAAATCAAATTTGAGCCAAACCTATCTGAACTCCCTAAAACTGACCGGACTCGTCAAAAATTCAAGGTAAACCGACCCGAACTGACCCGAAACCAAACCGACCCAAAAAAACCCTGAATATCTGGCAACTGTGTCCACTTTTTGTGCCTTAACAGTGTGGCGTGAAAATCGTCATCTCTCGGCAAATGAATCATACTGTATGGCACTCATAACGCGAACTACTGGTGGGCCTACATGTTATAGACCGTGCATGACAGACCGGAAACCATTTTGGTGGTACCGGGCACAGTGACTTTGCACTAAATAGTGCACCATGTGAATTTTGTTTCTTTCCGAAATGGCTTAGGCCAAAAAAAAAAGTCTCCGGTTTCTGGTATGGAGCTTGCCCAAGAAGTGGTGCGGCGACGCGGCTTTCCCCTCCCCCCTCCCCCGACTTTTTTGCTTCAAATGTCGGCGGATGACTGCAAATGGTGCCCGACTAAACTTAGTACAAATAGGCCTATATGGGATTGGGAGTCCAGAGAGGCCACATAAAGCTTATTCTCGACCATAACTCCATCTAAAAACACGTTAAAATTGTGCAGCAGCAGGATTCCAGTCAAACCAGTGAGTTTGGCGGTTTTGAGACATCATCTTCATTGAAAAAAAAAACTTTTTCATTTTGCTGACGCGCATGGCTACAGCGACGCGCGCGCATACCAGAAACCGGAGACTTTTTTTTTTTGGCCTTAACCAACCCGACGCAAAATTCGCAAACGCAAAACTGAAACCAACCCGACCTGACTGAAATGATGGATAAACCAATCTGATCCGACCTGAAGTCGGTTTCAGGTAGGGTTGGTTTTGGGTTGAGTTTGCACAACACTAATTGATAGCATACTTAGAATTACACTAATTGATAGCATACTAAGAATTTGGGGCTTTGGTGGTTCTAGACAGATAAACTGTATATTCCGAGAAAAACAGCATTCTAGGATCTCGATTTCATATCAAAAGGTGCTGAATCAAGTTTTGAATTGGGCCTGAATTCAGCGTTCGAGACGCGCTCTCACTGAGCTGAATGCAGCTACGCGATGTAGTGCCAGCGCCGAATAAAAAAAAAGAACTACTAATGGAAATTTCCTTTTGGAAAGGCCTTCTTTCGTTGATTTCTTCAAAACTACAGCTTGCCAGAAAGAATAATTTCACAGGGAGTTTAGTCCCATTACTATCTTTCAACCAAGCACGTTTTTCAACAATAATTACGCCAGTTACTTTTTTGGATAGCTGCAAATGATGGACTATAGCTTTAAGTTGAACCTCAAGCAAATGGATAAAAAAATTGTACATGAATGGCTTCTTCCGTTACTGACTATTCAATCATTGGCACGTTATTTGGCACACTTTCCTTCTTTATTAAAATTCTTATGGTGTATTTTTCCTCAGATCATTTTCCTCAGATTTCATATTGTTCTAACCTGAGCTAAACATTTTGGAGCTAAACATTTTTGTGATGTTGTTTTATATGCTTCTTTATGACTACTTTGGCGGTGTTTTCTATGGATTGGCCAAACAAAAGTTCAGGCCAGTTCAGACCGATGGGGTATTTCAAGGTACGGGGGTATTTATGTACATAAAATCCTATTCTCTTGATGGGAATGGGGTATTACTTTGAGATAAACAGAGTTTTGAGCTAACGAGAGTTTACTGTATGTGATTTCAGGTTTAGGTCCCCAGTCTAGTTATTAACGTAGCCCAGCAAATGTCAAAGGTCAATGGGAAGCACGCAAACGACTGGAGTTTGCTGACAATGTTGACCATCCAGGAATTTACATGTATATATGTTGGGTCTAGATAGTTGGGTCTGTAAAAAATCTTGGGCACACAAAAAATGACAAATGTCAGGAGGTTAACAGACACGTCCTCACGAGGTCATAAGTCCGACCTTGCCACTGTGCTCAGCGGGATCGCCTTCATCTCGCTCCTCATGCACAGGAACTCGCCCAGTACCGTCATCATGGCGATGCAGACGATATTGACCAGCCACCAGGACACTGTGTGGGGGAACTGTCTGTTGTAGATCCAGCACACTATCAGGTGAAACAGGTGCACTGTGAAGGCAAAGTCTGTACACTGCTTGGCTCTCCCGACGGCAACCCACAATCCCAAGGCACTGCAAACAAAAATAAAAATTAGATCAGAATCATTGTGTTCCAATTGTTAAGTAATAATGTTTACATTTGGAGCTCAAGCACAGGCTGAATGTCTCGATCACCACCTCCAATAGAGAAAGTATCTACATGTAGGCAGGCCAACACCTCGTTATGGGGAAGTTTTTTATTGTTAGGAAAATTAGGACCGAGTTGCGGGGACTTTCTGCTGTACCCACAGCAATCTTTCACCATCTGGCGCGTCTAGTCGCTCCTAATTGTTTCAGGCATCAAACTTTTCATGTACTTAATTCAAATCTTGACTTTAATTTGGTACGGCGCGACTTTTGAACACCAGTGTAAACCGGGGTTAAAAGGTCTTTAATAATGCACATGTAACTAAAGGCCGGTTCATACTTCACACGAAAGCAAAGGCAAAGGGATTTCAACTTCAGGAAATATTTGCTGTAAAATTCACCAGAGTTGAAATATGTTAAAACTTTTGCGAATTCACAGCAGGGAAATGCCATGACATGACAAATTCACGTTCGCGTTCGCTTGTTGTGCGGAGTATGAACTGACCTTTAGGCTACATGTACGTCCAAATTGCTTGGCTAGGGCTGGTAATAATACAAGTGGCTATGGAAGCGGTTGAATCCACTTTTCATAAACGTGTGTTATTGTCAAGTTGTGTACGACCAAGAAGTATTAAGAGAGATGCGGCCGTACACCAGATGCATGGTACAAAATCCTTTGTTTCCATCTGGTACATTGCATATGACGTCTTGGTCAAAGTTCAACTCACCATGTTAATGAATTCAAGACGTACACTGCCACAATGGTTCTACCTTTGGAGCTGCCAAACTCTAAGCACTGTGTGGAGGATAAAGAAATCATTTAGGGGTTTAAAATTCATTAAAACCAAACAAGTTGACAATAATTTGAAACCAAAACACTTCCGATTCTGAACAGCTTTATGGAAAAAGATTAATATTTCACAATGAAAAATTCATTATTCACTCATGGAGCGTGTATGAAATGTGTCAATGTGCCTGTCTCCTGCGGAATCATTGAAATACCCATTTTGAATGACAACTTTCGTAAATATTTTGGTGAAGATCCTTTGTTTTAATGCAAAATCATCCTGCCCCGTTCTACCGGGAACTCTCGAAGTTGACCACATGACCAAGATTATGTTTTGTGTGTGCTACATGCACATGTACTTCTCTTACATGTGCAAACCTGACAGCAATTTTATGATGTTTGCAATTTTTAAAGGTAGGTCTCCATATTCCGAACAGCATTAGGACTGCGTCCCCTGTACAGAATCGAAATCGGTATCCCAGTGAAAGGTAAAGAGGATGAACCTGTGTTCACAGGAATGGAGTGCCCATCTCTCTTTCAAAGTGATTGGGCCAGACTCAAGTCCATGCAATGCTGCTGTGGGGGATCGCCACACCTCTTCCACAGCAAGCATGCCGGTACCTATTCAACACTTGGGTTGAGAGGAGTAATTGAGGAAAAGCGCCTTACTAAAGGGCACAACATGCATGGCCATGGCGGGGCTCGAACCCACAATCTCAAGATCATGAATCCTATGCTCTACCGCTAGACCACACGTGCCCCTGGTATCCCTCATAAATTAATCGCAATCTACATGTACTAACCTCATACTTGAAGACTTGATCAAGAATTTTGGGATTATCCAGGATTAAGTCAACGAATACCAGCCAGAATCCATAGAAGACGTAGAAAGTACACTGCATGGCAATAATCTGGGAGACCAGGAGAACCGGATCCCAGACGTGACTCCGGAACATTCCCACCATGGCGACGGGGCAAGGGTTCGGGAAGTGGTAAAACGTCTGTTGTGACAATTCAAACTTGAAATGGATGCCGCGGGTATCAGAGAATATCAATCTAGTGTCGGGGTAAATTTCCAGTGTTGTGTCTGTATTGTCACAAACGACACATTCATTGCCGAGTTCTTGTCATGCTTTTCAGCGGTAACTTGATTTGATGTGGATCTCTGTTACTCGTTGTTTTAGCAGTGGTGTACTCTTCATCTACGAGGCCAATATGGCAGAACAATTCTGCTGTGACTGTTGTCTCACCAAACCTATAAGAAACAGAATACAACAATTGAATGGAAAGCATAGAAAGCTGAAAACAAATGAGTGTTCTGCTTTTCCTAAGGTCGCCTCAGGAAAAAAGAATGCTCGTAACATAGCAGTGTCCTTACCTTTAAGAAGACTACCGAACTCTTCACAATACAGCTACAAGCCATTTAAATACCAACCATAGACCTCCTTGCACACATATTCATTCAGCATGCGAGAATATTCTTGTGAACAGCCATATCATAATTTTTTTTTTTTAAAAGGGCCCGTAGGCCAACATGGTTTAGAAGTCTGATTCTTCAGTGCAACTTTTTATCACGCCCATCCTGGCAAATTCTCAGCCCCGTAACCTGGCATTTTAAACTCATTAACACGATTACTTAAAAACAACTCCAAGCAGCACCATGCTTGGCATTTGACCAACATTCCAGTGACGCAAGACAAACAACGTCCGTGAAGGCTAGGGCGGCCTAGTCCGAGTAACTTGGACCCAACTTATCGCCTTTTTAACATTCGGACATGGTCTGGCGATAGTAGGGTCCAAGCTAATCCGTATATGCAAAGCAACACAATTTTGTCCTTGATGCAAAAACCCAACATTGCCCAACAAAAACATCAGATTTCACCGTCAAAACGGCCTCCAAATTACTAAATACGCCACCTGAGGTACAAGTAGAGATCGATAATTAAGATGGTTGTACTGAAATTTACTTATGATCTGGATGAAAAGTTAAATTTCCCGTTAAATTCTGAGAGCTCCTATCGCGACCATGAACACGTTAAATTCCGATTTGTGTTTGAATTGCGATGTGGTTGCGTTGGCGGCTACGAGGCTACGGAGTGGGAGTCCCCTTGAATATGCTTGAGAACGAAGCAACACAAAAGGAATGGGAGTTGCTGAAAAAATTCTAAGTCCAAACCAACTACCCTGTTGGCGGCTACGCGGTCACGAAGTGGGAGTGCAATGGAATGGAGCATGACGCATAGTAGCCCGACTGCGTCTGGCCGTACAGTACTATCGCAAGCTCTGTAGTACGGCCAGACGCTGAATGCTTCCAAAAAGACAAAAAAAAATTTGGCCGCTGATGTAGCGATTTTGCTACATCTTTTGATCGAGATTATCTTTTCATCCAGGACAAAAATTTCCACATTTAAGGTTCTTAGTCGTAGAGCAACTCATACCTTTTCGAAAAAAACGTTCTTTGGTCTCAATATTTTCATCCATCTGGCCAAAAGACGACTTTCAGTCATCATCTTCCACAAATATCGTCCCGAAAATGCTCCCCTATGCGATTTCAAAATGACGGCCGTGCTGTAACTCATGAATATGCATAAACAGTCTGTGACGTATGACCTCGTGTTTTTGGACGTGCGTGCGGCGGGGCCGTACGTACATATGTACATGTACATTACTTGTAGACAACAGCCCAGTACGTGCATGCACACCGCCGCGCGGACGTACGTGTGCATGCACGTACTAGGCTGTTGTCTACAAGTAATGTACATGTACGTACATGTACGTACGGCGCTGCCGCACGCACGTCCAAAAACATTTTAAAAAAATAGATCGAGTGGCAGGGTATTCTGCAATTGGGCCGAGTCGAGTTGGCAAATGGTCGAGTGCATGATGTAGGCTACAGACAGTACGATACGCCTTCACCTGATAAATCATCGTCATGATCATGATGATCGTGTAGTTTTACCTAGTCCGAGTAACTTGGACCCAACTTATCCCCTTTTTTAACATTTGGACATGGTCTGGCAATAGTAAGGTCCAAGCTAATACCGAGACCTAGACAACACAGTCCCAAAAACCAACATTTTCCAACAAAAAACATCAGATTTCACCTTCAAAACGGCCTCCAAAGTACTAGATATGTCACCTGAGGTACAAGTAGACATAGATAATTAAGATGGTTGTACTTAAGTTTACTTACGATCCGGAAAAAAGTGAAATTTTCCGTTCAATTCTGAAGACCCCCTCTGCCTAGGTTGTCGTTGTTGTGCTCACGTTCAAAACTGCATGATAATGGCGTCTGACCTCGACCTCATGCAAATGTCGTGACGGCGCGCTTGCGCATAATGCACTGCATGCACGGCAGATTCCCCTGCGCCGCGCCGACGACTGTTTCCTGATGTAGAGCGCCAGCCATGCGCCTGGCTAGCCAGCGCGACTCCTAGGCGTACCGCGAACTTACACAGCACTCTACATCAGGAAACAGTCGTCGGCGCGGCGCAGGGGAATCTGCCGTTGCATTATGCGCAAGCGCGCCGTCACGACATTTGCATGAGGTCGAGGTCAGACGCCATTGTCAGACGCCATTGAACGTGAGCACAACAGCTTACTATCGCCAGACCATGTCCAAATGTTAAAAAAGGCGATAAGTTGGGTCCAAGTTACTCGGACTAAGTTTTACCATAGGTATCGTGTATGTTCCGTGGAATCTGTTCCGTATGCTAATTGTACCCGGTACCATCTTCACATGTATTTCTGAGCAACATAACAATCTATTATTAACTCACTCCTAACGTCAGACATAAAAACACAGATTCACCCATACCGTGTCCACGTTTCACTTACCAACAATGAACAAATTATCCTGACTAAAGTTTGTCTCTTGTCTGAGAGTGAGACTGAGTCATCATCAAAAACCAGGCTGATCTTGGCACGAAAATCAGGCCGGATTTTCGGCTGGCCGGATTTTCGGTTAGGCACTATTTTTACGGCGGCGCGCCGCCGTGAAAATTACCACTACGGTGGCCCTAAACAGCCATTGCTAATAAACCTTAGGAGAAAACGAATTATAAAGAAAGTTCAACTTCTTATCACAGTGAATTACCTTAAATAACTGAAACTGTTGTTTATTCGACTCTCAAGTAAATCGTAATCAAAATTAATGCTCAAAGTCAAACGGCCCGGCCGCAATTTTCTTTTCCCAAACAACAGGGTTGTTTAGCGCCCTCTACGATACTTTTATGACACGTACGTATGCAGGTATTATTAAATGTAAAATGATTCTGTACCCTCCTCAATGCCAGCAATTTCCCGTTTCAATAACATACACGGGTTGAAGGACATCTAAAGTGTATTCTATTCGCGCCCCGAATAAATCAGTATTGAAACAGAGTCAGCCCAATTAAATTAATCATACAATTGATAATTACGATACAAAAGACCGGTTTTTGAAAAGAAAATACGGATATCCCATTTTGAAATGATTTTGTACCATCCTAAATGTCCGAAATGTCCCGTTCCATTTGCATACACGGGTTGAGGGACATCCAAAGTGTATTCTATTTGCGCCCCGAATAAATCGGTATTGAAACAGAGTCAGCCCAATTAAATTAATCCGACGATTGATAATTAACGTACAAAACAGCCGTTTACAACGAAAATGCGGATATCCCATTTTGAAATGATTTTGTACCATCCTAAATGTCCGAAATGTCCCGTTCCAATTGCATACAGGGGTTGAAGGACTCTCAAAGTGTATTCTATTTGCGCCACGAATAAATCAGTATTGAAACAGAGTCAGCCCAATTAAATTAATCCAACGATTGATAATTACGATACAAAAGACCGGTTTTTTGCATAGAAAATGCAGATATCCAAATTTAAAATGATTTTGTACCATCCTAAATGCACGAAATGTCCCGTTCCAATTACATACACGGGTTGATGGACATCCAAAGTGTATTCTATTCGCGCCCCGAATAAATCGGTTTCGAAACAGAGTCAGCCCAATTAAATTAATCCGACGATTGATAATTAACGTACAAAATAGCCGTTTTACAACGAAAATACGGATATCCCAATTTAAAATGATTTTGTACCATCCTAAGTGTCCGAAATGTCCCGTTCTAATTACATACACGTGTTCAGGGACTCTCAAAGTGTATTCTATCCGCGCCCCGAATAAATCGGTATTGAAACAGAGTCAGCCCAATTAAATTAATCCGACGATTGATAATTAACGTAAAAAATAGCCATTTTCAACGAAAATACGGATATCCCAATTTAAAATGATTTTGTACCATCTTAAGTGTCCGAAATGTCCCGTTCCATTTGCATACACGGGTTGAGCGACATCCAAAGTGTATTCTATTCGCGCCCCGAATAAATCGGTATTGAAACAAAGTCAGCCCAATTAAATTAATCCGACGATTGATAATTAACGTACAAAATAGCCGTTTTACAACGAAAATGAGGATATCCCATTTTGAAATGATTTTGTACCATCCTAAATGTCCGAAATGTCCCGTTCCAATAGTGTTCATTCGTTTTGAACGTACGCAAGACGGGCATTTACGTTTCAGCCAATGAAAAGCTTTGCTTGCCACGCTCCGCCCACAGTTACCGCCCACCATGACCGTCCACAGCCTTACTTTTATTATTCAAATTGTTTGCTGCATGCAAGAGGATTCCAACTCGTTGAGCGGTACAAAAATCTAAATAACCAAAGAGGATCTCTTACAATGAATTTTGTCTGACATAATGCCTGCTGAATCTCTCTATCCAAGCACTTTTGCAAGTACATGTACATTGTACATGATGTGTTTTGAACAAAATCTAGTCGGTAAGGCCAAAACAAAAAGTCTCCGGTTTCTGGTATGCGTGCGCGTCGCCGTAGCCATGCGCGTCGGCAAAATGAAAAGGTTTTTTTTTTCAATGAAAGATGATGTCTCAAAACCGCCAAACTCACTGGTTTGACTGGAATCCTGCTGCTGCACAATTTTAACGTGTTTTTAGATGGGGTTATGATCGAGAATAAGCTTTTTGTGGCCTCTCTGGTCTCCCATAATATTTGCACTAAGTTTAGTCGGGCACCATTTGCAGTCATCAGCCGACATTTGAAGCAAAAAAAAACAGGTAAAAAACCCTCTTTTTTTGGCCTAAAGCAAACAGAACTACGCACGTAATTAGTTTAGTGCAGGTATATGAATTCAAACTTCTGTATACATACTGCCTTTAGTCACGGATCCCGTGGCCACAATCATGTTCCTTTCTATGTTATTACTTTCTGTTATTGATAAGTGTACCCCCTGTTGATTTTTTTCTCGACGAAGAGCTGGCTTTTCTTTGGAATTATTTCAACACTCTGTTTATGGGTTTTCTCTGCACGGGCATATTTTGTTTGCCTGCACCTTTGCCAAGATTGCGCTACAATAGAAACTATTCTGATTACGTAGGGTACAGCATACAGTCAGTATTCAGATTAACAATACACTTGGAATGTAAGGAAAGAAAAAGGCTAAGGCAGAGTTCGACTGCTATAGACACCACTATAAAGGCTTACGTAGGGTACAGTCAGTATTCAGATTAACAATACACTTGAAACGCAAGGAAAGAATAAGGCTTAGGTAGGGTACGAGCGCTACAATAGACACTATTATAAGGGCTTACGTAGGGTACAGTCAGTATTCAGATTAACAATACACTTGGAACGTAAAGAAAGAATAAGGCTAAGGCAGGGTACGAGCGCTACAATAGAAACTATTATAAGGGCTTACGTAGGGTACAGTCAGTATTCAGATTAACAATACATTCGAAACGCAAGGAAAGAATAAGGCTTAGGCAGGGTACGAGCGCTACAATAGACACTATTATAAGGGCTTACGTAGGGTACAGTCAGTATTCAGATTTACAATACACTTGGCACGTAAGGAAAGAATAAGGCTAAGGCAGGGTACGAGCGCTACAATAGAAACCATGTAGGATTAAAAAGGCTTACGTAGGGAACAGTCAGTATTCAGATGAACAATACACTCGGAACGCAAGGAAATAATAAGGCTAAGGCAGGGTACGAGCGCTACTTAGAACAACAATACAAATGGTACATAGGATTATAAATGCTTACGCAGGGTACAGTCAGTATTCAGATTAACAAGACATATACATTGTATGCCTGTAAAAGCTAAAGGCCACGTACCGTCGGGTTCTGTCACCCTGAAAGCAAGACGAAAGTGAGGCACCGCGATATGGGGAACGTTTGACAAATGTGCCCGTGTGAATATCAATGATGAGGAGAGGGCACCTGTTTTTAATGCATATCGCCATAAGTTTATAAACAAAGAAGAGGTTTATGGAGTAAATCATAGGTTTATAGAGTAAATCACAGTAAATCAAGAAATATTTGTATGTACCGTATTTTTATCATATTCTTTTCATAACTAAAAACGAAAAAACTGCTGCAAACTGTTTAAAGAGTACAATGACCTGAAACTACAATCAACAAACTTAGCTGACCCATGTTTCGGCAAGTCCTTCCAATTTTTATTTATAATTATTTATTTATAATACATGTGATATAATCGATAACAAGTCTTTTATTTTGTTAATTTCAGTTTTTATTTATCGGAGATTATACGATAGAGCTTCAAAGAAGCAGAGATTTGTTTGAGTTTACTTTTATTGACAGGAAAAAGGGTTGACAAACTTTGTCGAAAAATGTCAACATGAGTTTGAGTTGTACGTGCACTAAAGTATCCTATACACGTATACACGTACATGTACAACATTTCCAGTGCATTTCTTCATCACGTCATGAGTCGCCTATAGGTACAGCACTATACAACTCCACTTTATTGTTCCTGATCCTGCCACTTAGAATGTTCTTTTGTTATGTTGAAATTTGTACCGCTCAACGACTTGGAATCCTCTTGTATTGTTATCGTGATTAATAGAAGCACCGAACAATTTGAATAATAAAAGTAAGGCGGTGGACGGTCACGGTGGGCGGTAACTGTGGGTGGAGCGTGGCAAGCAAAGCTTTGAGTCAGCCCAATTAAATTAATCCGACGATTGATAATTAACGTACAAAATAGCCGTTTTACAACGAAAATACGGATATCCCAATTTAAAATGATTTTGTACCATCCTAAATGTCCGAAATGTCCCATTCCAATTGCATACACGGGTTAAGGGACTCTCAAAGTGTATTCTATTCGCGCCCCGAATAAATCGGTAATGAAACAGAGTCAGCCCCATTAAATTAATCCGACGATTGATCATTACGATAAAAAAGACCGGTTTTTGCAAAGAAAATGCGGATATCCCAATTTAAAATGATTTTGTACCATCCTAAATGCACGAAATGTCCCGTTCCAATTACATACACGGGTTGAGGGACATCCAAAGTGTATTCTATTCGCGCCCCGAATAAATCGGTATCGAAACAGAGTCAGCCCAATTAAATTAATCCGACGATTGATAATTAACGTACAAAACAGCCATTTTACAACGAAAATGAGGATATCCCATTTTGAAATAATTTTGTACCATCCTAAATGTCCGAAATGTCCCGTTCCAATTACGTACACGGGTTGAGGGACATCCAAAGTGTATTCTATTCGCGCCACGAATAAATCGGTATTGAAACAGAGTCAGCCCAATTAAATTAATCCGACGATTGATAATTAACGTACAAAATAGCCGTTTTACAACGAAAATACGGATATCCCAATTTAAAATGATTTTGTACCATCCTAAATGTCCGAAATGTCCCATTCCAATTGCATACACGGGTTAAGGGACTCTCAAAGTGTATTCTATTCGCGCCCGAATAAATCGGTAATGAAACAGAGTCAGCCCCATTAAATTAATCCGACGATTGATCATTACGATAAAAAAGACCGGTTTTTGCAAAGAAAATGCGGATATCCCATTTTAAAATGATTTTGTACCATCCTAAATGCACGAAATGTCCCGTTCCAATTACATACACGGGTTGAG